CCAAGTCCCCATTTGAAATACCGCCAGTCCCACAAACCTACTAGGTAGCTTTAAGAAAGCCCCTCTCACTCTCAGACTCCTTTTCCCAGTCTGTGATACTGGATAATGCTGGCCTACCTTGCAGGGCTATTGTAAGGATTACAGCAAGATCAAGTGCGCAAAACATTTTGAACACTCGAAAGCGCTACCCAACGTGCACAGTGCTACGACGATTGTTTAGCATGGTGTTGAGCCGAACCTTCCCTGCCCAGAGTTTAACTTCATATACTTCCCATCCCTCTGTGAAGAGTGCTGGGGGGGCTGATCCCTTCTCAACAGTATATCCCTTTGACTCTTAAAGCACCCCACCCACTCAGAGTTGTTAGGGTGCTTAGGACAAACCAAAGAGTAATCAAAACGGCCTCCCTCCGCCACCTACCCCCATGTAGTGCATTTGAAACATTCTTATACACTTGCATACATTCTTTCAGCAATCTCCACAATTGCTCTGCAAGGTAAGACGCCGCTCCTGTCTCCTTTATGTTGCAGACGAGAAGCATGGAGCAAAAAGACAGAGCGCAGAAGCGTAGCGTGCCAACATGCTGAGTTTGTTAGTCAAATTACGGGAATACAGGCCTAGGCAAAACTATCAGCAGCGACAGTTAAATGGAACCTCCAGGTTTAGAAGCAGTGCACCTTGAGATTCCAGATGCTGGCACAGCCACTGGCCAGGCTGTGTGAAATGCTGGCGGAAGGAGTTTCTTTTTCCTCTTCTGGCCTGGGCGCCATCGCTGTGGTGGCATCGAGATGCGCAAGTTTATGAAACCCGGAAAGGTGGTCCTTCTTCCGGCCAGGCATTATTCAGGCCAGAAAGCCATGATCATCAAGAACATTGATGGTGGTACCTCAGACTGGCTATACAAGCCATGCTCTGATGGCAGGAATTGACCGCTACTCATGCAAAGTGACAGTCCAAGATCGAGTCCTTTGTGAAAGTCTATAATGACAATCACCTGATGCCCACAAGGTATTCTGTTGATATTCCCCTGGACAGAACTGTTGTCAACAAGGATATATTTTTGGGGGGACCCTGCACTGAAACTCAAAACACAGAGAGAAGCTAAAGTGAAGTCTGAAGAAAGGTACAAGACAGGCAAGAACAAGTGGTTTTTCCCCCCCAGAAGCTCAGATTCTAAATTGCATGTAGCTGCACCAATAAATGCTTTTTGGGAAGAGAGAGACACAGAGAGAGAGACCAACCAGATGCCCAGGACACAGAGATGAGGGAGGAGCTATTAGCTTCACACCCTGCTGGTAGACTTCCCAGAAGCAGGGCTATTTTTGGACAGGAACGCACAGGAACGGAGTTCCGGCTGGCTCCCAAGTTGGCCACACCCAGCAGGAACTCATTGGCATAATAGGCCACACCCAACAGCTGGAACTCATTAGGATTGGCTACATTAGGGGGGTGTGGCCTAACATGCAAAGGCGTTCCTGCTACCAAAAAAGCTCTGGGTTTTGACCACAAACAAGGGAAACAGAATAAGAAGCAAACGGTGGGTGTGGCTGGATGACCACACTTCTGGTAACATGGGGGTGCGGCTTAATATGCGAATGAGTGGTGCAGTCAGGGGGTGTGGCCTAATATGCTGAGTTTCTGCTGCTGGGCATGGCCTATTATGCTAATGAGTTCCTGCTAGACGTTTTCTACAAAAAAAAGCCCTGCCCAGAAGCATCCGGTGGGCAATAGGATGTTAGACTAGATGGGAATTTTTGGTCCAACTCAGCAGGGCTCTTCTTATGTAGAACACAATGAGATGTGAACTGGGTATTCCCCCATCTCACAGCAGGCAGCCCAAGCAGCCATCACACCACGACAGCTTCCGGATCTTTTCCTTCCAAGAGCCCCTCCCCACATGTCATTCTTTCTTGATTGACTCTGGATTGCTACGAAACGACACAGAACACACACCTCCCCCCCCCCCCCCCCCCCCCCCCCCCGAGATGTAAAATTTCTGGATATTTTGAAGCTCGGAAAAAACCCCGTTTTTTCCCCGTTTTTTTTCGGGGGGAAACGGAAATTTTCGGAAAAATTGAAAAAAATGCTACATTAGCATTTCTTTTGTCTTTTCTAGATTGAAAGTCATTCTGTTACTTTAGGAACATAAAATATGACTATGGACATTTTTACTTGGCATGAAATTATCACAACTAGCATATTAAAAATATAGTGTACCCAAACAATTATTACAAACAGAATACCTACCCACATGCAAAAACAAAACTGAAACCTTTTTATTTTCTTCTGACAATCGCACCTCCTAAAGGAAGAAATGCATCTTGTTCTTGCATTGGAGAGTTCAGTTTGTAACCTAGGACTTGCTTGTCCTCAGTGCACAGAAATTAGATCAATCTGATACCATTATATATTTTAGAAATGATTTGGAAAATATTTGAACACCTTGTCTTAAAATATTTTATTTATCATGTTAAAATAAAACATTCCATAATCAATTTATTTTATTTTATTATTTTCCGGCCCTTTCCCCCCCCACCCCCCCCCCCCCGGCAAGATTTTCTCTGTACCTTTTCAGAGCATTGCAGATGGAATGGAAAAGAGCTGACTTGGTGCTGGAATCAGGCCTAGGCGGGCTCCCCGCATACCAGAAGTGCTCATCGGCTGACAAAATACACACCTGTACAAGAAGCTATTGTGGGCAACATTTCATATCAGCTATGATTGATTGTTTTCTTAACAGGGGGGGGGGGGAGAGAAACCTGCACCATTACAGAGAAGAAGAAACTGCCAAGATCATCAGACCCATGACTAAACATTACAAATAAAACGACGAAGCTATTATCTCACTTGAAACACAAGAGACTCAGGAAGGCTGCTAAGATGTACAGGGATAAATTATATTCTGCCTGGTAAAACATAAGAACATAAGAGACGCCAATGCTGGATCAGGCCAAAGGCCCATCCAGTCCAACACTCTGTGTCACACAGTGGCCAGAAATACCAGATGCCCTCAGGAGGTCCAGCAGTGGGGCCAGGATATTAGAAGCCCTCCCACTGTTGACCCCCCCCAAGCACCAAGAAGAAGAAGAAGAAGAAGAAGAGATTGGATTTATACCCCGCCCTTCACTTGGAGTCTCAGAGCGGCTTACAAACTCCTTTCCCTTCCCCTCCCCACAACAGACACCCTGTGAGGTGGGTGGGGCTGAGAAAGCTCTGACACAAACGGCTCTTTTTCAAGGACAGCTGTGCCAGAGCTTGTGACTGACCCAAGGTCACATCAGCAGGTGCAAGTGGAGGAGTGGGGAATCAAACCCGGTTCTCCCAGATTAGAGTCCGCACACTTAACCACTACACCAAACTGGCTCTACACCACTACACCAAGAAGACAGAGCATCACTTGCCCCAGAGCCCCTATCTATACCTTGTGACTAATAGCCACTGATGGATCTCTGCTCCATCAGTGCAAACAAACACATGTAGGCACACGCAGGCACACGCACGAAAGCTCCAACCCTGAGGTCCCCACGCACGTGCTCAGAAAACAAGATGAATTCCCACTGCTGAAGGAAAGATGACTCACGGAGGCCATTTTGAAGGTCAACTTCCCCGAGGGTGCCTGCCACACTAATAAGATCAAACTACGTCGGTGGGGAGACGAGGGGAATTAAACACCACCCGTGTATGTTTTCAGACTGGAATTCAGGAAGCAGAGTTCAGGGCTTACGGACAATGTCAGACTAATGCCAGCAGAAAGCCAAAAGACCCTCAGGAGAAGCAAAAATAAAACAGGAGCCACATTACAAATCTTTCCACATCGTTTAGTATCATTTAATATCCTAAGTGCATTCCTCTTCACGAGTAATTATAAGTACTGAAACCGCCAGCACTTTGACACGACCCACTAGCAGCTCCATCAAAGACTTCCGTTCCCCATCTAATATCTATTCAAAACTAGTTATTACAAACTGCGTGACAGAAAACATCCACCATGCTAGCTGGCAGGTGAGGGTCAAATCGGAATGCCGTCAATTTGTGGCAAAGAAAAGGGGACAGAAACTGAGAAAAGGTTTGGAGGCAGTGAAGTCTGAGGAGATTTTTTTTTTAAATACAAAGAAAGAAATTAAATATTTTCTAGGAGCAAGTGAAGTCTGGAGCCTACTGGCCATAGCTACGTCACAGGGTACCTAACTTCATACATTACTTCAGTGTTATGGGAAGAGGGCTGTCTCTTCTGAATCTACTGCAGACCAGGGGTCATTTCCTGCAGGAGCGCACAGGAGCAGAGCTCCGGCCGTAAGGAGCCCAGGGGGCGGGCACATGCAACAAGCCCCACCCCCTGCTCCCAGCAGCCCTCAGTCAGAGCAAGAAGCAACCAGGTAAGTTGCAGAGCTCCCCCCGGCCCCTCAGTCCAAAACAGTCCAGTGGCACCTTTAAGACCAAGCTTTATTCAGGTACAAGCTCTCCTTCCTCTGCGAGGACAGATCTGCACGTGTCCTCCCCCCCCCCCCAAATAGCTAGCAATCCAAAAGAGTCCAGTGGAACCTGAGTGGTGGGTGTTGCCTTCTGACACACGTCCGGTGATGTCAGGGGGTGTGGCATATGCAAATAAGTTATGCTAATGAGTTATGCTAATGAGCTCCTGCACCTCTTTTTCTACAAAATGACCCCTGGTTACACCTCTAGTGATACTTAAAGAGACCTACAGGGCTACTGCACTAATCTAACCTCATCAGATCTCAGAAGCTAAGCAGGGTCAACCCTGGTTAGCACTCGGATAGGAGACCGCCAAGGAAGTCCAGGGTTCCTCTGCCAAAGCAGGCAATAGCAAACCACCTCTGTTTGTCTCTTGCCTTGAAAACCCTGTGGGATGGCCAGACGTTGGCTGCGACTTGACAGCGCTTTCCACCCACCAGGGTGACTTCGGCACGGGCACCATGCACAGAACTGCAATCCAGCCCATAAAACACATGATTTCTTTAGCCAGTTGGCATCCACAACTTACCTGCTGGTGTTGCCTGGCCCCTGCAGTGATAGACTTCGCAACAGTGTCAATGAGTTGTTTGCACATGATCTACGACCAAAGAACAGCCGATGGTTACTGGAAGCTTACGCCAGTTTCGCAAATCGAAAATGTCTTTGACCGGGATAGTCCCAGGCAAGCCCGATCTCATCAGATCTCAGAAGCCAAGCAGGGTCAACTCTGGCCAGTACTTGGATGGGAGACCTCCATGGAATACCAGCAGCAGGGAGGTGGGGGCAGGCTTTATTCAGCCACCTCCCTGAATATCCTCCAGGCCCCCAGTAGGGGTCAGTCACCAGAGGTCACCATGACTTCCAGGTGCACACGCACGCACGTGAGCGCACGCACATATGAAAAACACACACACACCCCAAATGTCTTTGCATCTTCACACCCAATCCCTTCTTTATCAAACTTCTGGATGCAGTGAATGTAAGGTATCGGTCCACCAAGCAGTCACTTCAAAACTGAAATGGATAATCCCCAGAAGATGTCTTAAGTAAACACTCAGAGGTGGGATTTTTTCCTATCACAGCCGTAAAGAGAGGCTCTTAACCTTCACCTACCGGGTGACGTTCAAAGAGATCGAGAAACATGGATCCGGTGAGTGGGCTGTTGCGCTTTGTCAGGAAGAAGTTCAAAGCATCCCTGTACACGGTGGTCACTCGCTCCAGATCCAGGCTTCCGACAGTGGAGGCCTATAAAGAGAAGGCATAAAAGGATGATGATGATGTGAGTCAGGTTGACATCGCTAAGACTTGGCAGATTTATTCAGAACAGCCCATGGTGGGGGTTCCTTTATGCCGCAGAGACGTAGTCCATGCCTGGGAAAACTTGCAATCCAAACAAATGGACTTAAGCGCAGAACGCAACCTACAGCGTGGAATTTTGCATCTCCAGAATTTCAACTTTAACAGAGTACTGGTTCTTATGGCTGGATTGGGCCACCTTGCACTGATCACATCCAATGTGAGAGTTCTGGACCTGGGAAATTCAAGTTCGTCCCCGCTCAGCCACGGTGCTCACTGGGTGACTTGGGGCCAGACACTCAGTATGACCTACCTCACAGGGCTGTTGTGAAGATAAAATGGAGAAGGAAGAACCAGGTACACTACCCTGAGCTCCTCTGAATGGGCATGACAAAAACATGATATACAGACAGATAAAAGCTTGATCAGATAAAATAAAGTAGGTAAGACCCTAGACACCCTGACCTGGACAGCCCAGGCTACCCCGATCTCATTAGACCTCGAAAGCTAAGCAGGGTCAACTCTGGTGACTATCTGGACGGGAGACCAGCCAAGGAAGTCCAGGGTTGCTACACAGAGGCAGGCAATGGCAAACCACCTCTGAACCTCTCTTGCCTTAAAAACCCGACAGGGCCACCAAAAGTTGGCTGCGGCTTGACGGCACTTCCCGCCACCACCAAGAAACTAGACAGATGTGGCTAGCAAGACTGGTGGAGATAACCACGCATGGCTGCCTTAACCTCTGTGGAGGAAGGGTGGGATGGAAATGTGACTGATCCTCCTGTATCAATCAGTTAAGCTGGGCCAGTCTGAGAGCCAGTTTGGGGTGGTGGTTAGGAACATGGACTCTAATCTGGGGGAACCGGGCTTGATTCCCCCACTCCTCCACATGCAGCTGCTGGCGTGACCTTGGGTCAGTCATAAGTTCTTTCAGAGCTGTCCTCTCAAGGGCAGTTCTCGCGAGAGCTCTCTCAGCCCCACCTACCTCACAGGGCGCCTGTTGTGGGGAGGGGGAGGGAAAGGAGATTGCTAACCGCTCTGAGATTGCTTCGGGTAGTGAAGGGCGGGGTTTAAATCCAATCTCTTATTCTCCTCTTCTCTTCTTCTAATGAAACCCCAGACAGTGTTTCCCCATCTTCCGAAGTGAGGTGGGTGGTGACCAGAAACAGGGCCTTTTCGGTGGTAGTGCCTCAGACGTGGCACTTACCCACAAAGATTTGCTTACACTCAGTCATTTGGGAGAAGTGAAAATATTTCTTTTGGCTGGGGGTTTTCTTAATATCAGCCTACCAGCGGATGGACACCTTTGCTGAGATCCCATTATTGCCATAGCTTTTTAAAAAACTGTAGTCAACTCCTCATGGAAACAGATCTTCAGCGGCAGCCAGAAACACATCAACTCTCGCGGAACGTTAATTAAGCAAATTAATCAAAACAGGATCTCCTCACCAGAGGTGCTTGTGTGCTCTTCTGTTGGTATTTAGGCTTCTTCTCCAGCTCCACACTTTGTGGGTCCACTTCACTGGCTAGATTTCCCTTCAACACTCGGAAGATATACAGAGATGCACTGTGGAAGAGACAAGAAGGCATCAAAGCCTTGAAATGGGTTCTTCACCCAAAGAGTGATCGACACATGGGATTCATTGCCACAGGAGGTTGTGACAGCTACAAGCATGGACAGCTTCAAGAGGGAATGAGATAAGCATATGGAGCAGAGGTCCATCAGTGACTATTGGCCACAAGGTCTAGATAGGAACTCTCAGTCTGGGGCAAGTGACGCTCTGTCTTCTTGGTGCTTGGGGGGGGGGCGACAGTGGGAGGGGCTTCTAGTGTCCTGCCCCCACTGGTGGACCTCCTGATGGCACCTGGTATTTTTGGCCACTGTGTGACAGAGTGTTGGACTGGATGGGCCATTGGCCTGATCCAACATTGGCTTCTATTATGTTCTTGTGTTCTTAGAATGGAAGCTGCTCTCGCACAGGAACGAGGTGCTTCGTCATACAAGCTGCAGAGATGAGAGAATTTTAGCCTTCTCAAGTTCTCTCGCTGTAGAACTGGGAAAAGCTATGTGCACAGAACGAGACTGGTAAAATTCTCTGCAGTAGTTGAGAGAGGAAGATTCCCTGGACCACAGCGAACTGCAGTCCTGAAGCACACATACTTGGAAATAAGCTTCACTGAAACCAATGGGGTTGGAGTTGAAAATACAGCGGGAGTTAAAAATACAGCCTGTCTACTGCAGGTGATCGCCGTGAGACTTCACACATGAGTTCGGGAGTTCCCACAACCTCATGCTCTGCAGGGCTGCCCTTGCGGAGGATTCGGAGATCACACGAAGGCCAGAGAGCATGAGCCCCCTCACCCTCCCCACACGTTCCGTGGACCCATGGAGCTGTTAGGTGCACCGAACCAGAGTCCACAACGGATGCTGCCTGCAGGTTTCCTCTGAAATCATGAGGACTAGGAACTGGTGGTTTTAATTGGGAGCTGGAAATCTTTGGGTGCCAGCCACCGGGATTTGTTCCTGGTGGCTGGCAGGGCTGAGAGTATTTAAAAAGAGCGCAAGAGAGTCTCTGGCTCATCTGCCAGAATGGCCCACCTGAAGCAGTAAAGGGCCACCGCGGAGTCACTCTGTCTGCAAGCTCGCTTCACCAGGCTTTCCAGATGGGCGTGCAGTTCCTCCCGGAGGGGGGCCACATTTTTGCAGTACTGCTTGGATCTGCACAAATGATTCCTGGAAGCCGAGACAAACACCCCGCAATGTCATCAACACGCAACAGAAACCCCCGGCACAGGAGGCCTTTCCAAAAAGTCTGAGGCAGGCCATCAACCAAAGGATATCGTCCCCCACCACCCCATGGCCCAAGAAGGCACAATGGGGATGGCACCACCCACCCTCCAAACATCCCCAGCAGCTAAAGCCTTCAGAGGAGCTCTGACTCATCCCTGCGAGCCTTTAAACACAGCACGAGACTCAGGGCCTACGCATATGCCCGTGATTCTTTAGAAAAGCCACAGCATGTAAGCAGTGGCTGCAGAACTCTGCTCTATGAGGGGGAAAAAACAATACAAAGCACGTCTCCAAGGCCATATGACTTGGGAGTACACATGAGCAATGTCTGATGAGCTTTCAGAAGCCAGAGAAACGTATGAAGAACAATGAATAGATGGTACGTTACACCGCGCAAACTTGCTTTGATGTCGGTGGGGATTTCCCCGAAATGTTGGAAAGGGTGTCAAGAAATTGGCGACTACGCCCACTGTTGGTGGAAGTGTGTAAAGATAAAAGATTTCTGGCTGAACATTTTGTCCACAATCCAGTTGATCACCTCGGTGCGGATCCCACTCTTACCGGAGATCATATTTTTAAATACATGGCCACCAGATTTAAAAAACAGATCACATAAAGCGTTAATAGCAGTCTTATTGGATGCTGCTAAAACGGCAATTGCATCATGCTGGAAGGATCACAGGGCGCCTAATGTGGAAATGTGGTATAAAAAATTGTGGAACCACTATTTAATGGATGCAGTATCAAATAAACTAAACATCTCTTCCCAATATCCTATTCAAGACACCTTCACTCCCAAATGGTTCCCGATTTTAGACAATTTATCATCGCAACACTTCCTCTCCTCCGAATGGTCCCAATTTCATAAATGGATTTAAAGTTTCCTTCAGTTATTATGCTTTCATTTTTTGCTTTTCTTCTTATTGAAATCATTCGAAAATCCTACATACTCAGTTAATCTGTTATATACTTCACATGGTTACGAGTTGCATAATTTTATATATTATTGTTAGAAGGTTTAACAAAGGTTTATGGATAATTATTCTCACACACACACACACACACGCACATTGGTAACAATGTGGAAACCTTGCTTGAAAGTTTATATGTTGGATTTATTGTGTTATTTCAAAATGTTTCATCTGCATATCTGCATTTGTGTATTTCTAATATAATAAAAATTATTATTTAAAAAAAAGAAAGAAGAACAATTAGAGGGGAAGAGTGACGACGCTTTTGCCCTCTGCGTGGCTATGTTGAGGAAGAGGAGGGGGAGAGTGGGGAATCAAACCCGGTTCTCCAGATTAGAGTCTGTCAATCTTAACCATCCAGAAAAATAAATCCTCCCAACACCACGCTGACAGAAACCGCATCAGCGAGCAGGCAAACACGAGGCGGTGCGTCTCCCAACTCCCTTTACACCTCTGGTAAAAAATGTAGCACAGGTCCTTAAAATAAATCTCCGGTGCGCCAAAGAAAGAATGGCTGGTCATGAGGTGCTCGGCTCCTGAGTCACTTCAGAATTGCCCCAAGCAGGGACGAAGGATGACCAAGTACTATTTAGCAAGCCACTGGAAAAAAAAAATTCTAGATTATACTTTTGAAAAAGAGACACCCGCAAAGGTATCCAACACTACTCCTCGTCCCATGTCCTCTGTTTATTTGTTTATTTGATAGATCCTCCAGGCACACTCTCTCAGCCTAACCTACCTCACAGGGTTGTTGTGAGGATAAAATGGAGGAGAGGAGAAGCCGCGTTGGGTCCCCATTATTTCTTGTCAAAGAAATAATAAATAAATGAATATGTTCAGGGGCAGGAGACCTCTGATTAGCCAGAAGCCTGGCAAAAAGCATCAGGGGGTGGCTATCTTCACGATCTGCTCACGAATTTCTTCACGGGCATCTGTTGCCACTGCTGGAGAAAGGACGAAGAACTAGATGGATACCAATCCGATTGGACGAGACAACAATGTCTGAACGAATCTGTGGCCTCTAACAAAAAACATTTGTAATTTTATCACCTCCACGAAAACCGTTAAGGGGATAGAAAACCACACTTTCAAAGATGGACTGCATACCAAACCCTCAACTAATGTCCCTGAAACTCACGTGAAGATGTCAGCCGTCTTGCGGAGATAATCTTGCTCTTGTTTGCTGGCCTCAGAGCTCATGCTCTGCTCAATCACCAACAGCAGAGGGTCAATGATGCCGAAGACGAGGGGGTTCTCTGCCTGCTTTGTAAGGAACACCTCCACTAGATCCAGAACCTGCAAAAGGAAGACGGAGCGGAAACGGACAAAACCAATGTGAGCGGCAGGCATAAGGAAAATTGAGAGAGGATACTCATGTACCCAGCAAGGGGTATGTACATGTGAATCAGGGTCAGTGGCGTCTCGCAGGAGATGTTCAGAAGACTGGGCCTTCTTTACTGCCTGGATCAGTGTATCACAGCTTGTTATGAGACTGAAAGCAGCCGGTGGCCATGAAAGCCAGATAAGGCAAGGGAAGATGAGACCCAGATTCAATTCCCTTGTTTGGCTACTGACTATACAGCTACTTATTCCCTCGAGAGCCAGTCTGGTGTAGTGGTTAAGTGCGTGGACTCTAATCTGGGAGAACCAGGTTTGATTCCCCACTCCTCCATTTGCAGCCGCTGGATGACCTCGGGCAAGCCATAGTTCTGGCAAGAGCTGTCCTTGAAAAAGGGCAGTTTCTGTCAGAGCTCTCTCAGCCCCGCCTACCCCACAGGGTGTCTGTTGTGGGGAGGGGAAGGGAAAGGAGTCTGTAAGCCGCTCTGAGACGCCTTTGGGTAGTGATGGGCGGGACATAAATCCAATCTCTTCTTCTTCTCTTAGCCTAACACTCCTCACATGGGCGCCGTGTGGATAAAACCGGAAAGGCTAGAAATCAACAAATACAGAGATGCAGCATTCTCATCATGCGGTATGGTCTATATTCTGACTATCTACGCATCCTTACAAAAGCTACACCCCTGTGTTGAGTAGATTGAACACTCTGTGGATTGGATCCGGTTGGAACCAGCCTCTCTTTGTTAACATCACTCCCCCATTCTGTTCTATATATAAATCCCGGCCTGATGGATTTACATTTCCATGCAGATGCAGAAGTTCTGAGTCAATGAAGGTTTAAGTTAGAACGAATTTTCGTTCACCTTTGAGGGGCCACCGAACTCCTGTTCGGTGTGTGCGGTCCGGGGGGGGCCCTGCGTACAAGTTAGTTATACACAGTAACTAAAAACTTTGTGTATAACCTTCTTTGCTAATTTTTAAAAAATGCTAGTTTTTGCTTTACTGCTGCTGGAACGTTCATATATTTTCAGATTCTTGTTATCTCGTATGGCGAAGAGCCCTGACCCGCTGGACCCCTATTAACTGCCCGAGTCGATGCCCTCCTTTATGACGTCTGAAGTACTTCTTACAGCATCTGAAGCAGACCAGCGATACCGACACATAACTTAAAGTTGTATTTATTATTTATATGTATTTTGGAATTTTATCTGTTGTTAGCCGCCCTGAGCTGGCCTCGACCGGGAGGGTGGGATAAAAGTTTAACAAATAAATAAATAAATAGTATTATGGGCTATTTTTTCCTGTTTCAATTAATTGTTAGCTGACTTGGGTATCAACAGACTGAGAAAGCAGAATGTAAAATAGTAATTGCTACCCCTTAAACTCAGGCAAGTACAGGAACAGAAAAGCTGTCCCAGAAGTTTAATACTGGTTTTTTTGGGGGGTGGGGGGGGAGAATTGATGGATGAGATTGGCCCCAGCCAATTGCACCAACTTTGGTTTCAGAGAGGGCTCATTCACACATGGAAGTCGGCCGTTAATGCCACAGCCAGAGAATGCTGTACATATAAGAACATAAGAACATAAGAGACGCCAATGTTGGATCAGGCCAAAGGCCCATCCAGTCCAACACTCTATGTCACACAGTGGCCAGAAATACCAGTGCCATCAGGAGGTCCAGCAGTGGGGCCAGGACATTAGAAGCCCTCCCACTGTTGACCCCCCCCCCCAAGCACCAAGAAGACAGAGCATCACTTGCCCCAGAGCCCCTACCTATACCTTGTGGCTAATAGCCACTGATGGACCTCTGCTCCATATGCTTATCTAATACCCTTTTGAAGCCGTCCATGCTTGTAGCACCCACCACTTCCTGTGGCAGTGAATTCCATGTGTTAATCACTCTTTGGGTGAAGAAGTACTTCCTTTTATCCGTTCTAACTCGACCGCTCTGCAGTTTCATGGAGTGCCCACGAGTTCTTGTATTGTGAGAAAGGGAGAAAAGTACCTCTTTCTCTACCTGCTCTTTCCCATGCATAATCTTATAAACCTCGATCATGTCACCCCTCAGTCGTCTTTTCTCCAAGCTAAAGAGCCCTAAGCGCTTTAACCTTTCCTCATAGGGAAAGTGTTCCAACCCTTTTATCATTCGAGTTGCCCTATCACCCAGGCTTTAAGCACATTCATTATTGCCCATGCTTCATCATCCATGCATCACTCTTCAATGACCCTTCACAGCTTCTCATGTGCTGAAACTGGGGTAATGGATTTTTTGCACTGGTTTGCTTCTTAGGAGAGAGTCATGATCCCATTTACTAATTAGCAGTGAGGCTCTAAGGCACGTTCCTTCCAGCAAATGACAGCTTACTTGCCATCAAGTAGTTAAGCAAGTCCTCTCTATTACATAAGCACTCACTGACCCCTAGAGGCCAACAGTTAAAATAATCCTATGCGAAGCCCGATCCTCTGGTGAGATCCAGCCACACAGAGGAGAACCATTCAGAATAAAATAGATTTGGCACTCCGCCGGGAGCAAGAGAGGCCTGCAGTTTTGCAGAAACCTCCCCAACACCAGCTCGGTAGGTCAGTTTCCCTATGGGGCAGAACATTACAATTAAGAACATAAGAACATAAGAGAAGCTAATGTCGGATCAGGCCAATGGCCCATCTAGTCTAACACTCTGTATCACACAGTGGCCAAAAACACCAGTTGCCATCATCAGGAGGTCCAGCAGTGGGGCCAGGGCACTAGAAGCCCTCCCACTGTTGCCCCCCCCCCAAGCACCTAGAATACAGAGCATCACTTGCCCCAGACTGAGAGTTCCTATCTATAACTTGTGGCTAACAGTCACTGATGGACTTCTGCTCCAACTGAAACCCCCAACCCCAACTTTCAATTTAGGACTCTGGTTGGTCTGATTTAGGAGCTGCGGTGGCTCAAGTGGTTAAGACGCTGAACGGCAGGCTGTGGAAGGTCGGTAGTTCAGCAGTTCGAGACCCGAGTGTGCCGCATGATGGAGTGAGCTCTCGTCTCTAGTTCCAGCTCCTGCCAACCTGACCACGGAAATGTCTTCGGACAGCGCTGGCTCTTTGGCTTTGAAACGGAGATGAGCACCGCAACCCTAGAGTCGGATTCGACTGGCTTTCGAGCAAGGGAACCTTTACCTTTACTTTTGGTCTGATTTAACGACCTAAATAGCCCAGACTAGCCCAAGCTCCTTACAGAGCAGAAGCTAACCAGGGCCGACCAGGGCCAGTCCTTGGATGGGAGGCCACTAAGGAAGACAAGGGCTGCTATGCAGAGGCAGGTAATGGCAGACCACCTCTGCTTGTCTCTTGCCTTGAAAACTCCGTGGTCTAGACTGAATCTAGATGTTCCCCATCACTTTCAGATGCCAACCTAATTTTATCCTCCCCTTGCCCCCTTGTCAACTTTTCTTAACCCATGGTATTTCATTTTTAGCTGTTGTAGATTTTCCGGGTTGTCTGGCCGTGGTCTTGGCCTTGTAGGACCTGACATTTCGCCAGTAGCTGTGACTGGCATCCTCAGAGGTATAACACAGAAAGATGGAGTGCTCTCGGTGACTGCATTGAGCAGGGGGTACTCCATCTTTCTGTGTTATACCTCTGAGGATGCCAGGCACAGCTACAGGCAAAACGTCAGGTCCTACAAGGCCAAGACCACAGCCAGACAACCTGGAAAATCTATAACAGCTAATGAACTCCGGCTGTGAAAGCCTTCAACAACATATTATTTCGTTTTTGTTCAGCTGTTCCTTGGAAACCACATTTTAAATTTATCTAATTTTTAGAAAAGAAAACTCCATGGTCCTGAGGTTACCCGGAGTCGATTGTGACTTGGCGGCACCTCATTATTAACTACAGGTGGGACTGGGCCATATTGCTGCTCTTTCGAAGCCCTGGGGAAGGTTAGCTACTTGCTCCATACACCCCCCCACCCCACGCTCTTTGAACCAAGTGCTATGGGGCAAACAGACATGTAGCACTCCAGAGCTGAAGCCCAGAGCTTGAAAACCTTGATCGGTTCCAGCAAGGCTGCTGGGGAGGCTGCTTCACAAAAGTTGCTTGGCAGGTGGGGGGGCAGCCTCCCCCCCCCACACACACACACCTTGGGACTTACCAGGCCTCTCTTATCATTTCCAGAAAACTACAAAACCCACAGAAACTTTGTACTAAGCTCAAGGGTCTCCCGGTGCTTATAACACGAATAGCTGCGGAAACAGATGTTATTTCAGAGTTCCAGAAGCTTCTACCTCGTCTATGAAAACACATCTAGCCCACCGTTTTGCACCTAGGGTTCCCAACGAAGCTTTATGAAAAAACAAAAGTCAATTCTCCAACCAACCATAAAAAAAAACAAAAACCCAACCATAAACACAGGGGAGGAAAAATCTCACTGAACATTAACATTGCAGTCAGGGAAGCAGTGAGACTAGTTAGCAAGCAACCAGTCGACCTCTAGAGGCTTTATAACAAGCCCCGTCCTTAAACAATAACCTCCTTAAATTACACCTGAACCCATTTAAGCATCGCTTCAGGTGGCATTCTTTTGCTAGGGCTTTTAATAAGGTGTAAACTGCAGGCTTTTTTCAGGGAGCGGGGTTACTGGGTGTTGTGTGTTTAAAATTTGTATTTCTAAGCTGCCTTGAGTGATGGAGACAGGCAGGCTATACATATTTTAATGAATGCAGACATTAGGAGAGACAAAGCGTTTTGAAATTGCTTTGTGCCATAAAATAGGATTAGCCTAACCCACCGCTAGGGAGCTGCGGTGGCTCAAGTGGTTAAGACGCTGAACTGCAGGCTGTGGAAGGTCAGTAGTTCAGCAGTTCGAGACCCGGGTGCCGCATGATGGAGTGAGCTCCCGTCTCTAGTTCCAGCTCCTGCCAACCTAGCAGTTCAAAAGCAAGAAATTGCAAGTAGATAAATAGGTACCACTTCAGTGGGAAGGTAACAGCGTTCCGTGCGCCTCGGTGTTTAGTCATGCCGGCCACATGACCACGGAAACGTCTTCGGACAGCGCTGGCTCTTCGGCTTTGAAACGGAGATGAGCACCGCAACCCTAGAGTCGGACTCGACTGGCTTTCGAGCAAGGGAACCTTTACCTTTTTAACCCACCGCTATGTAACAAATCCTGATCTGTTTGTAAACCCTGGTTTGTTGGCCTCCTGCCTCTCCCCGACCACCCAGCAGGGAATACCACCTTTCTGCTTTCTCCACAGGTGAGCAGCCGTGAGAACAGACACTGCTGGAAGCAAACGATGGTTTGTGAGTTCAAATGTCACACAACCAACCTTAATTGCTACGACACAGCAGTTAGCAAGCAAGCGGTCGACTCTTTTAAGTTGAGATCTCAGCTTGGTGTCCAGCAACAAACTCCCAATTTGATGGAACGTCTGCATTCACAGATGCTGCCACTTGCCAGGGTCTGATCAAACCACAGTTACTAATGATGCCCGAACACAGCTACAGTGACTCAGGATTGCTTAGAGACAGTAAGGGTGATCATCACACTCTTGAAAGAGCCACCCTAAACCAAGGGGAACTTTGGATGGATAGATACGGGGTAGGGGTGAAGTACAGATCATTGCCAGAAGAAGAGTAGGTGTTTTATACTCCGCTTTTCTCGACCTTAGGAGCTGCAGTGGCTCAAGTGGTTAAGATGCTGAACTGCAGGCTGTGGAAGGTCGGTAGTTCAGCAGTTCGAGACCCGGGTGCCGCATGGCGGAGTGAGCTCCCATCTCTAGTTCCAGCTCCCGCCAACCTAGCAGTTCGACAGCAAGAAATTGCAAGTAGATAAATAGGTACCGCTTCGGTGGGAAGGTAACAGCGTTCCGTGCGCATCGGTGTTTAGTCATGCCGGCCACATGACCACGGAAACGTCTTCGGACAGCGCTGGCTCTTCGGCTTTGAAAAGGAGATGAGCACCGCAACCCTAGAGTCGGATTCGACTGGCTTTCGAGCAAGGGAACCTTTACCTTTTTTTTCTCGACGTTAAGGAGTCTCAAAGCAGCTTACAATCACCTTCCCTTCCTCTCCCCACAACAGGCACGTTGCGAGGCAGGTGGGGCTGAGAGAGCTCTGAGAGAACTGTGGCTGGCCCAAGGTCATCCAGCAGGCTTTAACCGGAGGGGTGGGGAATTGAACTCGGTTCTCCAGATTAGGGCCCGCCAGTCTTAACTACTACACCACACTGGCTATCAATGGGAGAGGTGCCAGTAGCCACTAGCTTCCCCCCACCCCGGTTAAAAATGGTCCTATCCCAAAAACAAGCTTTCATTAAATGGAAATCTTAACATTAAAACGGTAGTTTATTATTTTTAAAACGGGGCGAGCCATTACTTCAGACAGGGTGCTGCACCCCTTGCACACACCCTGGCTGCACCCCTGAGTAAGTATTTCGCATTTACATTGCACTTCCAAGACATCCCCCCAGGGCTACACACATAAGGGGTCTGTTAACTCTGCCCCCCTCACCTTAATCTTGAAGTCCCTGCGTAAAATCTTCTCCTTCCGCATCTTCTCCCGCTCGTCCTTCTTGGCTTGGATGCGCTTCTTCTGCTCAGCGAACAGGGCGGACAGGTTCTCGTCCAGGGACATCATGGTCTCATCATCGACGTCCTCGTCACTGTCATCGCCTCCCTGACGTTTTAAAAGGGTGCAGAGAATAAGATGCCTTGACAACCTGGGCCTACCGTGCCCGAAGGACTACCTCCGCCCACATCAGCCCGCCCAGATTCTGAAAGTCGTGCATGGTGCTTTCCTTGTGAAAACCCACATTATCCAATGCTAGTCTGACCAACACCTGATAGAGGGTTTCTTTGCTGCCTCTCCCAGGCTGATGCTGTCTCTACACGCCTTCCAGACTGAGCTTAAAAAGCTCTCTTCCAGAAGAAGGCTCAGTTGGGTCGGACAGGAAAGTGGTTTGCTGTTTGACACCACTTCAAAAAGGATGTGGACAGAATGCAGCAAGGGCAGAGGCGAGCAACGAGGTTGATCGGGGGCCTGTAGACCAAGCCCTAGGAGGAAAGGCTGAGGGACCTGGGAATGGAGAAGTGAAGGTTCGGGGGAGGCGGGCGGGACATGGTTGCTCTCCTGAAGTATTTGAAGGGCTGTCCCTTAGAGGAGGGCAGGGAGGTGTTCCTGTGGGCAGCAGAGGAGAGGGCTCGCAATCGTGGGTTGAAAATTAAGGGCAGGAAGGTACCGGCTGGATATTAGGAAAAACTTTTTTACAGTAAGAGTTGGGCAACAGTGGGACAAGCTGCCTAGGGAGGTGGTGAGCTCCCCCTCACGGGCAGTCTTTAAGCAGCGGCTGGACAAACACTTGTCAGGGATGCTCTAGGCTGATCCTGCATTGAGCAGGGGGTTGGACTCACTAGATCAGGGGTGTCAAACATGTGGCACGGGGCCCAGATCAGGCCCCCAGAGGGCTTCCATCAGGCCCGCAGTGGAACTGTCTGTCTTCTGCTTCTTTTTCCAGTTCTGCTACTGCTGCGTCATCATAGATTTGCATCTTACAGATACACACCTGAACAGCATACTCAAGATTGCAGCAGCACAGACATTTTGATGCAATAATTCAGAGCAAGAGGTGTCAGTTAATCAGACACTGTTAAATAAACAAAATATTGCAAGAGTGCTAATGTTTGAAGCATGTTTTTGTTTTAAGTAAAAAAAACCCCTTTGTGTTTGTGTCCTTTATAAAGTTTATATCTCCGCTACCCAGCGTTACATTTTATGACACACGTGGCCCGGCCCAACAAGGTCTCATTTATGTCATATCCAGCCCTCATAACAAATGAGTTCGACACCCCTGGTGCAGATGATCCCTAGGTCACCTACATTAGGACTGACGCTCTGCAGTGACACGTACAACATCGAGCAGACTGCCGGTGTTGAAACCATGCTGAATGGCAGCATTCGTAAGTGCTACCATGGGAGACCATGGTACCATGTTTTTATTGTAAGTAAAAAAAAGACCTTTGTGTGTTTGTGTCCTTTATAAAGTTTATATCTCCGCTACCCAGCGTTACATTTTATGGCACACATGGCCCGGCCCAACAAGATCTCGTTTATGTCAAATCCAGCCCTCATAACAAGTGAGTTCAACACCCCTGCACTAGATGGCCTGTATGGCCCCTTCCAACTCTGTGGTTTTATGACTGACGTCTTTGTCTGAAATACAGACCCATCATGTTTGACTTGCATCTCAGCTTCCCTCTCCACAAAAACTAGTTGCTCCCCAGAGATATATTTGTATATATCATTGGAAGGACAGAGAAGGATGAAAAAAAGCCCTGGAAGGGTGACTTTGCCCCGGAGCTGCACATGGAAGCCCACCTCCAATATGACCTAGAAGCCCTTGCAAAGTGAATCTGTATAAGCAGGAGGCATAACCCATCCAATGGGTACCTTCCTTCCACTGATGGATAAGGCAGAACCTTCCAGGGACCCCTCAACTCTCTAAGCACTTACCAGTGCATTCCCAGACTGCAGAATGTTCATCAGCTGATGGCGAAAGTTCTCATCCATCTCTTCTTCTTTCTCGTCTTCGCTGTCCGTCTTCCCGTTCTCTGCTTCGTCGTTGCTGTCATCATCATCATCTTCAGAGTCGTCTGCACAAGAAGACTCGGAACTCTCTTCAGAGGTGCCATCTCCTCCCTACCCCCCCCCCAAAAAAGGGTTTTTTTTAGCCAGATACAACCCAGAGCTTTTTCGTGTTTCAGCCCCAAAGGGTATATCAAGAAAACACAAAAAGAGGCAAGGAGGTCAGAGGAATCATTTTGTTTTTTGGAGGCTCCCATTACTGTGAGCTACCATTAAGCAGACACAGCACATCACTTGCAGGAGGAGGAGGAGGAGGAGGAGGAGGAGGAGATTAGATTTATGCCCCGCCCTTCACTCGGAGTTTCAGAGCGGCTTTCAATCTCCTTCCCTTCCTCTCCCCACAACAGACACCCTGTGAGGTGGGTGGGGCTGAGAGAGCTCTTTCCAGAACGGTCCTTGAGAGAACAGCTCTGAGAGAACTGTGAATGACCCAAGGCCACCGGGCAGCTGCATGTGGAGGAGTGCGGAATCAAACCTGGTTCTCCAGATTAGAGTCCGCAGCTCTTAACCACTAAACTGTTGATTTTTTAAAACATTTCCCATGGAGGTGTTGTGTGTCCTGACGCACTCATTTTTCTGAACACCTAAGCCCAATTGAGAAAGCATGCCAAACTGAGGTTAAGGAAGATTAACGACCCTTTAGCATGATGACTGAATTGACAAACCACGGTTTGTGACCAGCTGGCAATCGGAAACCATAGCTGGATTGTACATCCTGGCTTATGCCAAATGATGCTTCGATTCAGACATCACACCCACAGTCTGCAACAGCCATAGATTATGGTAAACATTTCCCAAACACATGTGCAAATCATGGCTTACAGCTGGCTTTTTGTTTTCAGTCTGCTCAGCATGCCTGCCCTGAGATCCAGGGGAAATACAGTCTGTCAGTACAGACAATACACCAAACTATGGCACCCTTAACCTAAGTTAAACGATAAAATGGTTCAAAAACAAAAGAGAGGGCAGAACTGCTCAATTCCTACTTTTCCTCAGTCTTCTCTTGTGAGGGAAATGGGGCTCAACATGGTAAAACCAGAACACACGAAGAGGGAATGGAGTTGCAGCCTAGGATTGACATAGGGGTAGTACATAAACACCTAGTTTCTTTAAATGAAACTAAGTCCTCGGGGCCAGGTGAGCGGCATCCAAGGGTACTAAAAGAACTTGCAGACGTAATTTCTGAGCCTCTGTCCATTATTTTTGAGAATTCTTGGAGAACAGGTGAGGTGCCAGAAGATTGGAGGCGGGCAAATGTTGTCCCCATCTTCAAGAAGGGGGAAAAGGAGGATCTGGGTAACTACTGACCCGTCAGCTTGACGCCTATACCTGGGAAAGTTTTAGAACAAATAATCAAACAGACAGTCCTTGAGCATTTAGAAAGGATGGCTGTAATTACTAAAAGCCAGCATGGGTTTCTCAAGAACAAGTCATGTCAGGCTAACCTTATCTCTCTCTTTTTTTAGAAAGTTACTATCTTGCTGGATCAGGGGAATGCTGTAGCTTATCTTGATTTTAGTAAGACTTTTGAGAAGGTTCCACATAATATACTTGTTGACAAATTAGAAAAATGTGGTTTGGATCCTATGACTTTTAGGTGGATCTGTAACTGGTTGACAGATCGCACCCAAAGAGTGCTTGTGAATGGTTCCTCATCTTCTTGGAGAGGAGTGACAAGTGGAGTGCCTCAAGGTTCTCTCCTGGGACCTGTTTTGTTCAACATCTTTATCATTGATTCGGATGAAGGGATAGAGGGAATGCTTATTAAATTTGCAGATGATACTAAATTGGGAGGGGTAGCAAATATGGTAGAAGACAGAGTCAGGATACAGGATGATCTTGACAGGCTGGAAAACTGGGCTAAAAGAAATTTAATGAATTTCAGTGCGGATAAATGAAAAGTTCTGCATTTAGGTAGGAAAAATCAAATGCATAATTATAGGTTGGGGGAGACTTGTCTCGGCAGTAGTACGTGCGAAAAGGATCTAGGGGTCTTAGTAGACCATACACTGAACATGAGCCAGCAGTGTGATGCGGTTGCTAAAAAGGCAAATGTGATTTTGGGCTGTATCAACAGAAGTGTAGTGTCCAGATCACATGAAGTGATGGTACCACTTTACTTTGCTCTGGTTAGTCCTCACCTAGAATAATGTGTTCAGTTTTGGGCACCACAATTTAAGAAGGATATAGACAAGCTGGAACATGTCCAGAGGAGAGCAACGAAGATGGTGAGGGGACCAAGTCCTATGAGGAAAGATTGAAGGAGCTGGGTATGTTTAGCCTAGAGAGGAGACGACTGAGAAGTCATATGATAACCATCTTCAAGTACTTGAAGGGCTGTCATCTAGAGGATGGTGTGGAGTTGTTTTCTGTTGTCCCAGAAGGTCGGACCAGAACCAATGGGTTGAAAATAAATCAGAAGAGTTTTCGGCTAAACATTAGGAAGAACTTCCTGACAGTTAGAGCGGAACAGGCTTCCTCAGGAAGTGGTGGGCTCTCCATCTTTGGAGGTTTTCAAACAGAGGCTAGATGGCCATCTCACAGCAATGCGGATTCTGTGAACTTAGGCAGATCATGAGAGGGAGGGCAGGAAGGGTTACCTCAGTGCTTAGTTCTTGTGGTCCTTTTTTTACACACCCAGGGAAATGCTGATTGCCACTTTGGAGGGAGGAAGCAACCCTGGAGGTTTTCTTGTCATCTTCTGGGCGTGGAACAGCAGTCACTATGGGTGTGGCGGGGGGGGGGGGGGGATTTGTGAATTTCCTGCATTGTGCAGGGGGTTTGACTAGATGACCCTGGAGGTCCCTTCCAACTCTATGATTCTAGGTGGCTGTTACATCACTTTGGAATGAGTACATAAATCTGGGGCACTAATATATAGAATTCAACCGGACTAACCGCATCCTTCTGTGCAATTTTCTTTTTGTGCGTTTCTTCCACCACCACAACAGCACTTTCTTCATCCTGATCTTGTTGTGGGTCAAAAACCTAGAGGTGAATCCAAAATATATTTGCCAGTGATCAGTCGGGTTTACCCAAAAGCATCCAACTTCATGGAAAAATGGTTTCCATTCTTGGACTATGTTCTAACGAATGACTGCCAGACACATAATCCAATTTATCTAACCTTACTACACTCTTAACATACGCTCAGCAAACACTGTTCTTCTTTCTCTTTTTCTCAGCTTAGTTTATATCGTGTCTAGTCATAAATTCACTCGTTGATGTTGAGAACCTTTACATCATGTTCAAAAAATTATACACACAGCTTTCACTTACATTCCAGTTTACCTGTTATTAGATTAAGTTTGCTCTGTATACATTGTTTATGCATGCTTGTATATTTACGATGCTATCACTTTCAACTTTTTGATCATCTTCATAACTGTATTGTTTGAAAAACCAATTAATTTTTTTTTTTTTAAGTCCACTCAGTGGGGCTTACTCCCAGGAAACAGCTCTTCGGATGGCACTGAAAGATTTCAATAATTAGGGTTCCCACTGTTTGTATTTCTGCCAACTAAACGCAGTTCAAACAGTAGAAGGCGTGTACTCTACAATTCATTTTGTAAGGCTATTTGTTCCCTGTACATTACTCCTGTTTTCTCCAAGTTTCCAGGCAGATCTGATAAATTTTCTATATCCATTCTGCTTGCAGATTGCCTTAATGAAACCCCTCTTACGGTGGCCAGATTTGGGGCTTTGGCACAGTCAACAGGGAAACAGATGCTCCAATCTGCTTATTAACTGCCTTGGACCACTGAAGTGAGTGTCTAACAAAGTTAAGAATTTTTATTGTTTTTAATATGTTTTCACCAGAGTTTAGCTTGTGTTCTTGGGTAGGTGTGGGAAGATCCTGGATTGGAGCCAATGAAAATGAACCAAAAACTACACAACAGGCCTCGCAGTGGCACAAGCAATGCTCAAGACCCCATGACTCACATCCAGGATGAGCTGCAAGGCCCCCTTAGTCATGTGCTGAGCGATGAGTCCAAACACGCTTTTGCAGACCTTCCGGATCAGCCCGCTGGACTGGGTTAAAAGGGAGAGGAGGACCTCCACCGTCACCTCCACCCATTCCGGCTCTTCTTCACCATCTACACAGAACAAAAACAGGCAACTGAATTCCTCCGGTGTCTCTGTGTGACCAACCTGGACTAGAAGTCATCTCAGGATAGGAACTCACCAGCAGCAGCTTTCTTCTTCTTTGGCTTCTCCCCAAAGGCCCTCTTGGTGCAATTCTGAAGGTCATGCAGAAGATCCATGCACTCTGCTGGCAACTGATTAGGTGAGAAATGAGGAATTAAAACAGGGCTGTATAGAAATATTGCTTTCTATAGGCTTCATGTCTTCCCTGAAATGTCTTTCTGATACCTTGTTTCCTGTTGCAAGCCAGATGGCTGACCATTTGGTCAGAGAGGTTCAATAGCCTGCCATATAACCACATAGTCTTCACACTTCTAGTAGGCAAAGCTAGACCTGATGGCACCTGGCTGTGCCTACATGCCAGGACTCACGTAAAGCATAGAGGAGTGGTTAGTGCTTGGGGATCACATAACTGCAGGTGTGGCCTCCAAGACAACTGACCATTCAGAAGTTGTAGCCATGACAACCCAAACGTTGGACACCCCGTCTACTTCAATTGGCTCCTGGCCAGAGCTAATTTGAAAACTGGAATTGCCCTATATCTGTTTAAACCCAATGAGAGAAGCTCTCTCGCTCTGTTCTGTTCCTGGATGTACTGGGACTTCTTGACTATGGATCATTCTGGTAACTATGCAGATCTCTAATGTTTAGTTAGGGCCAAGGGCCATAAGTTTTCTTGTTTTCAGTACTCCCTGTAGTCTGTGTTAAGTTCTGTGCTAAATAAACTTTATTCTGGTTTATACTTAGTGTCTGTTTTGATGGGTAACTGACTCCAAGCTAAGTCCTGTTGTCTGAACTGCTCACCAATTATGCTACCTTGCTAAGATTAACTGTACAGCTCTAGACAGAGTTATGGAAGTGTAAAATCCACATGCCAACTGAGATTCTGGATCTCTAATCTCAGGCTGGTGAGGGATTAATCTAGAGATCCTGGTGGCTGTGTCTGTAAATCCAGAGAGGCTATCTCTCCTGGGTTCTTGTGTAATGTATGTTTCAAGTGTAGAATTCTTTCCCTCCCATTCCTGGACTGGTCTGGGGAGGAGAGAATCTACACAAGGACAAGGAAAGGAGATCAAGTATCTTCTTGATCCCTGGACGGAAGCTCGTAACACAAATAACGTGTGCGTTCCTAGCATACAGTTTGGCCAGTAAAACTTCTGGAAACACTGAATTCGGAATCTATGAAGCGATGATCTCCAGTGTGCAAACTTGATCGAGACTGTCAGCGACAGGACCTTCTGGAGGTCATTAATTCAGAGGGTCACCATGAGTCGGAAGGAACCCGTCAGCACGTGACACACACAAATTCAACAGCATGTCAGACGTTACCTTGAAAAGGTGAATGCCCACCAACAGCAGAAGATGCTGGAAGGCAGAAGTCTTCAGGGCAGGGTTTTTCTTCTCTTTCTTCCTCAAGTCTTCCACTGTCTGCAGCATCCTGCAGCAAGAAATTGTTGTATATATTAGATTCCATGTCAAAAATGAAGTCAAATGAGGAGGAAGATCTATGTTTTATTTCAATTAACAGAAAAAACAATTGGACCAAATAGTCCACCCAAAATTGACTACTTTCTTCTCAGCATATTCAGGAAATATGCTTCAATTAACAGGAAAACAATTAGACCAAATAGTTATTCAAAAATTGACAACTTTCTTCTTTTTCTTCTTCATCTTCTCCTTGAGCCTATTCTGAACATATTCAGGAAATACATGATATTTTATACATGGACTGACATCATCAAGAAAACAATATTCAAACAGCATAATTGGTTACAAAAGACAGTGGTAATTTGAGTAATAATCCTCTGATTGACCAGAGGTAAAGAAACATATATCTACGTCAAACTAAGTGTTTACTTAACCTAACCTAAATGATAATGAGCAAGGATTCTTCATATCAGACTAAAATCTTATCTGACCCAGACATTGAAAGGTTTGCCCTAAGAACTACAGAATCATGAATTTTGTACCTATTATGTTGTCTGCTAACAATATCAGACCTACAAGAGGAAAGCCTTCTATATAACAGGCCTTTCTAACTTCCTAATAAAATATTACTTAAAGAATAAATCTATAAAAACCAGAGAAAGATGAATATGAACAATCAAGAAGAAAAAAACCTATATAAAAAAATCTTTATATTCCCATTCATACTACAAAATTGTAACTCTGTAGGGTACAGCTTACGAACTGTAAACACTGCCTTTCCAGCAATAGAATGCAGAGCTGTTGACTGGCTAAAAATGATGAACATTAGAATCCGCAGAAACCAACCAACCCGACAAAAAATAGATTGAAAAGGAGTCTCAGAGCGGAGTCACTGCCCAAAGGAGTCTCAGAGCGGCTTGCAAACTCCTTTCCCTTCCTCTCCCCACAACAGACACCCTGTGAGGTAAAAGAAGAAGAAGAGATTGGATTTATACCCCCACCCTTCACTACCCAAGGAAGTCTCAGAGCGGCTAACAAACTCCTTTCCCTTCCCCTCCCCACAACAGACACCCTGTGAGGTAAAAGAAGAAGAAGGATTGGATTTATACCCTGCCCTTCACTACCCAAAGGAGTCTCAGAGTGGCTTGCAAACTCCTTTCCCTTCCTCTCCCCACAACAGACACCCTGTGAGGTAGGTGGGGCTGAGAGAGCTCTGAGAGAACTGTGACTGACTCAAGCTCACCCAGCTGACTGCCTGCGGAGGAGTGGGGACTCAAACCCGGTTCTCCAGATTAGAGTCCACCGCTCTACACCATGCTGGCTCTCAGGGAGAGTTGCGATCTTGCCCTATTTTGTGAGAGAGGGGGAGAGTTGCCATCTTGTCCTATTTTGCCTATAACCTCAGCTGCAACTTCCAGCAAAGAACCACGGGTGGTACTTCAGAGGTTTAATGGGTCAACCCCACACCCCTGCGTTCCGAAATGGCCAAGAATCTGGAAGGCAAAGCTAGTATCATACAATATGGTCCAAGGTCTTGAGCGGCAAACCTGTGACTGCAAACAGGGGTTTGTATAGTTTAGCACTCCTCCATACAAAACAAAACAAAAAATCAGTGTGTAGAGAACAAGCCCAACAACAGAAAAGGGTTCTAGCCTAGCAGTTTGGTGTAGTGGTTAAGTGCGCGGCCTCTAATCTGGGATAACTGGGTTTGATTCCCCACTCCTCCACTTGCACATGCTGGATGACCTTGGGCAAGCCATAGTTCCGGCACAGCTGTTCTTGAAAAAGAGCAGTTTCTGTCAAGAGTTCTCTCAGCCCCGCCTACCTCACAGGGTGTCTGTGGTGGGGAGGGGAAGGGAAAGGAGTTTGTAAGCCGCTCTGAGACACCTTTAGGTAGTGAAGGGCGGGGTATAAATCCAATATCTTCTTCTTCTTCTTCTTCTTCTTGAAAGATTTTCTGTATGCGAGGGTGTATTTCTTTTTTTAAAAAATATGGAGCACCTCTATCCCACCCTTTCTCACGCTGATGGCTCCACGATTTTCTCCCTCTCCCCCACTTTTCCTCACAACAGCCCTGTGAGGGGAGGGGGCTGAGATGCCCACATGAACACACACGAAGCCGCCTTCTACTGAATCAGACCCTGGGTCCATCAAGGTCAGTATTGTCTGCTCAGGCTGGCAGCAGCTCGCCAGGGTCTCAAGTGGAGGCCTTGCACATCACCTACTGTTTCTTTTTAACTGGAGAGACCATGGGGATCGAACCTGGGATCTTCTGCACCCAAAGCAGCTGCTCTTCCACTGAGCCACAGCCCCCTCCATGCTGAGCAACAGCTCTGAAAGGTAGGTGAGGCAGTGAACGTCAAAGATTTGGATTTCCAGGTTCTCCTCCAACACTCTCCACTAACACTTTCTTTTAGCAATTCATGTGTTGTCTTACATGGCTGAGTGTTGACTCTTACCGGTCCCAAGCTGCCTTGGCCTCGTTACCGAACGGTGTCACAACCTTGACGTGTTTGGGCTGAGAAAGGAGGAGGTTGGCATACTGGACCATGCCGTAGATCCAGGGATCCCCGCTCGCCATCAAGCCGTGGAGACGCTTCTTCCTCATCTCTTCGGCTCTTGCGGAATCCCCCAGGGCAGGCATTGAGCTCAGGTGCTGAAGCAGGCTGCAGAGAAACCCCAATCAGCAGAAAGAGCCGGGCTTCAGACAGCGCACAAGAGATCTGAGATGGTTCACAATTGGAAGCCGTGGACTAAGAACCTAAGAGAAGCCCCTTCCTAGATCAAACCAAAGGTCCATCTAGTCCAGTGTCCCACTCCCTCTGTGGTCAACCGGAAGCTCCCGAAAGAGGGACGTGTGTAATCCTGACCATGTTGCACCCAGTGTTCCCTCTAAGCTGAGTTAGTGTGACTCAGCTCACAGTTTTTTAGCCTCCGGCTCACACATTTCTGTCTCAGCTCAGGAAGGAGGGCTCCAGAGCAGACTAATTTGTGCAGTGGCCAAACTGTTTGCTCACAACTTGAATGCCAGGAGCTCACAAAGTCGAATTTTTGCTCACAGGACTCCACGGCTTAGAGGGAGCATTGGTTGCACCCCATGTTGCTGAGTTAGTGTATCAGAGTTGTGATTTTATTTTTCTCCTGTCTCACACAAGAGGTCTTGGGTCTTATCCTGACGGACACCACCTACAGTAGCCAGGAGTCCCTGTGCCGTAACTAGCAAAGCAGGCTGGTCAAAGTCCAGATGTGGAAAGCCAAAGATACGCTTTAGCTCTGAATTCTATGGGCCTTCCCGACATTTAAAGCGAACGTAAACTAACCTGGGATGTTGGTTCATCAAGCCCAGTACTGCCTCCCTTGGTTCTCAGGCAGAGAAAGTTCTTTACGGTTCCCCAAGATCCTTTAAATGGAGATGTCAGGAACAATGCCTCCCTCTAAGCTGTGGAGTCTTCTGAGCAAAAATTCTGCTTTGTGAGCTACTGGCGTTTTAGTTGTGAGAGAACAATTTGGCTACTTGCATAGATTAGTTTGCTCTGGAGCCCTCTTTCCTGAGCCAAGACAAAGATGTGTGAGCCAGAGGCTAAAAAAACTGTGAGCTAGCTCACACGAACTCAGCTTAGAGGGAACACTGCTCAGGAATTAAACCTGGGAGAGTAACGTGGCTTAATTTAGTCCTATGATGATGTGTTGTACAGAGTCAAACCATTTGTTCATCAGGTTCAGCATTACTTATTTGGAATGGCAGGGGCTCTCCAGGGGTTCAGGCAGAGAAAGATCTTTCCCGGCACTGCTACTTGAAAGCCTTTTAGCTGAAGGTGCTGGGGATTGAACCTAGGACCTTCTGGATGCAAAGCAGATGCTCTACCGATGTTAGGTAAGACCCCATGTCTTGCCTAAATGCCCATCTATAGTTTAATTCTGTCTGCACATGGAGCTCAAGGCCACCTTTGGTCTGACTCAGCTGCAGGAAATCAGCCACGGATTTGGCTACTGTGCTAACCCCCCAGTCCAGCTAACCCCCAGCTCTAACCCCAATCCCCTGCACGTCCTTCAGGCTAAAGTCCAATTCTGTCCTCCTAGCCAAGCTGAAGAAAGGCAACGTGGATACCTGAAAAATGAATTTGCAGCTGCCGAGCGAGATGGTTCCTTCAGAAGCACCGATGGAACAGCTTCAGCCTCAGGGATTTCAGAGGTTGGCTTCTTAGCCTCAAAAAAAGCATGGAAGAAGCAAAACCTGGAAGAACCAGAAAGACCACAACATCTTAACACAAGCAGCCATCAGAAAATCATCTTCAGAAAAGATGGAAAACTCCGTTCCAAGAATATTAAGTTCCATTTGAAAATGAGTTTCTGGCCCTCATTCTTTGAACCAAATAAAACAGAAAAAGATTGGGGCGAGTCTTGACAGAGGTTTCTAGACTGTACGAAAGTTACCACAAGGCAACCCAACACTTTTAAAAAGCACGTGCTAAAAAATGTCTCCAAGTCGGTCCATCAGAATGGTGCAGTGATACAATGAAAAAGCATTACGATCAGGTAACACACTTCTGCAAAGATGAAGTATGAAAACCCACTTCTTACACGTTAGATAAACCCTGAAAGCTACTTGAATTCTGAGACTGCTAAAGGAAACCAAACGCAGTCGGCATGAAACCATTTTGGAATTGCAAAGAAAATTCTAGAACGCATCTACATCCAATCACAAAACAGGGGAAAGCACGGGCCTAGTGAAATCCTCCTCCCAACTTAGTAGGAGACAAGAGGGGACCCACAACAAAAGGCTGTGCAATGTGTGGTGGCTTGGTTTAACTTGTAATTGCAGTGTAGATTTTGTGTACTGCCAGTCTCCCCTACATACAGTGTTATTCCTTCTCTCTGTTTGTCTGTCCCCACAGCCTAGGGAAGGGGCAAGGCGATCAGAGCCTCACTCCTGTCAGGAGCAGTGAAAAATGCAGAGCCTTGCCGCCACTCCCCCAACACTGCTGTCCAGTGACTGTGATGTACGTCTACATTTTGTCTGAAATCTACACATGCATCACAGCTTTGGCAGAGCTGAACAAAAGAGCCCAAGGGGGGCTATAGTGAATCAAGACCAAATCACGGCCTGCTCTAAAAGCAGCAACTAAGGGAGCCCGTCGGCAAAGGAAGTGGCAGTAGGCTTCCCTGCAATACAAGCCAGGGAATGGTGCAGCCCCTGAGCAAATAGTTCACAGGGAGCCCATACTGCTGTTATAGGTTAGGAAGGAAAGAGACAAGAGGTCTGAAAAAGCACAGCCACTCGCTGAAGCCATATTTCAACCCCAGAAGGATGCTGGGCCACGGTTGCTAGGCAGCCATGGCTGTTCCCTCAGTCATAGGAACACTGTGACACTCCAGCTCCCGGGGACGGCCATTTTGGCTACTGTACGTAAGAACCGAATCAAAGGGTGGCACAAGCAGATTCATGGACCTCTTGCTTTTCTTACCTGGCAACATCCATCACAAACTCTTCTTCTTTCTTTATTTGCGGGTTTTCAACTATCCCAGCCAGCCGGGCAATGATCCATTTCCTCAGTCGCGTGATGCTGTGCTCACTCTTCTCTCTGCCTCAACAGGAGGGGGGGGGGGGAAACTGGCATGGTTAGCAGTTTTGAAAGAAATTCATTTTGCATTTGGGCATGCAGTGTGAGGGCTTTGTCCTGGATAGGGCTTTTTCCTTGAGTCATTGCTCCTTTTGGTTCACCCTGTTACACTCCTGTGCATTTTGCTGTTTTCAACTGATTTTAAGTGACAGCTGCCTTGGGAATTTTTTTTTTCTGTCCAAGAGGTGGGCTACAAAGCAGATGCTTGCCTTGGCCCTGATTGGAGCTTGGTTGTTTTTTTAAAAAGTCTTGCAACATTGGAGAATGGACTATAACAGTGTTAAGATTTTTAACACTAGGTTTCCAACTTGCAGCATGACTCCCTTGGGGCTGCATAAGAAACCTGGGGAAGCCCTGACCTGAATAGCCCAGGAAAGGGGCAGGCTTTATTCAGCCACCTCTCTCAATATCCTCCAGGCCCCCAGTAAAGCTCAGTCACCAGAGGTCACCATGACTTCCAGGTGCACACAGAAACCTGGCGAAGAAGACACCAGGAGGCGGGCCTGAGGGTGCTGCTAAGCCCCTCCTTTCTTGCACTGAGGCAAGAGGGGGAGGACAACAACCCAGGGGCATGGCTGGAGGGACAGGTGTGGCCCAGAGGGCAGCAGGAGACGAGGTGTGGCCCAGAGGGCAGCCTCACTCCAACTGTGGCCTCCCACATATATGGCAATGGCTAGAGATTCTAAAAACAGCCTGTAATGATTCCATTTTTGGTGTGTATATTTCTTTAAATGTTTAGTGTGACTGCAGTAATGTAAGGAGAGTGACAGAGGGAGACAAGTGTGATGTGATTGGTGGACAACTGAGAGTGTGGGAGGAGAGATGTCTATGAGGTGATTCTGTGTTCTTGAAGAGACAAGTGTGAAGAGTGTGTAAAAGTCTGTATGGCAGAGGAAGCATATAGCCTGTGTGGCTATGAGCAAGAGTTCAGCCTGTGTGGTTATATATGAGAGAGATAAGCCTGTCAGAGTGGAGTTTTGGTGTTTGAGAGACTGTGTGTGACGCCAAGCTTTGTCAGTTATATTTTCTTTCTTCAACATCAGTTCAAAAATACCCAGAAACTTATTTTGTTCTTTTATAAATAAATCATTATTTGTTGAAACTTATCCTAGCAATCAGTACAGTCCTTCCTCGGGACCACATAGTCCTCTGAAGCGCCCAGACACTAGGTCATTCTACCAAATAGAGTAGGAATTTTTAATTCCTGGTGGCAGCAGAAATCTACTAAGTTCATGTACACAGAGTGTGGTTTAAAGGAGAAACAGTCTCCCCAATAAGCAGGACGTCACACAGCCTCTCCTCGGGGTGGAGGGTATAGTTAGTAGGCAGTAAACATCCCCGCCCCCAGCATGCTATCCCACATATTTATTGCAGTGGATTTTCACTGCAAGCCTCTTTTGGAGCCAATCTGGCCGAGAAGCAGACCACAAAGACACTCATTCATTCAATAAATAAAGCTAGTGGTGGCTGAACCAGGGCACTGCTGCCTAATGCATGCCGAACCCTTCATCGCAAGAGAAACTCACGCATGGCTTTGCTTCTCGTTCTGCTTCTGCCGCTTGGTGGCAAAATCCAAGCAGGAGTCTAGATCCGGGTCCAGGAACATGTCCTTAAGCCAACTGATGTATTTCAGCAAGGCCGTGGGAAGCAGGTGCCTCACCACTTTCCAGAAGGTCGGCACGACGGGATGCCCTTGGTTGGTGAGGGTGGAGAAGCCGACCATCACCGCCAGCTGCTTCTCAGCATCGGGACAACCCTCCAGGAATGCACTGACGTAGGCTTCCATCTCAGGGGCAAACTTGAACCTGTCAGGTAGCTGAAACAAACAGGCGAGAGAGAAGCATGGTAGAAAAAGGGAGGATCTGCATGGTGTGTCCCCACCAGGTAAGAAGATCTCACCATGAACACCAACCACGGTTAAACAAATCAGCTGCAAACCTTGGTCTGAAATCCCTAGTTATGCGCAGAGGTCATAACCAATTGGGGTTTGATCAAACCGTCGTCCGCCACAACACAGCCCCAATCTTGTTGCATTCCCTTACCTGAGTGCACACCACGTGAGTCCCATACTGTCGCATGACCTCCCCTCGAAGAATCATCTTCAGCTGGCCAAGAGACAGGAGTGGAAGAGCACTGCCCAGCAGCCGATAGCACATGTAACTGTGGGAGTATAAGATGCGAGGCTCAGAAAGTAGCCCAACACAGCGCCAAAAAGAAAGCATGGCAGCAGATACACAGGAACCTTGAGCTCAGTTTGAATTTAAGTTGATCAACAGAACCCTGTTCTCATTGATTGGTTTCTTTACTTGTGCCCTGCCTTTCTTCCAAACGGGGACCACATCCTCTCCTCCTCGACAGTTTCTAACCCTTTTATCCAAGTATCTTTCTAAAATTGCCTTCCTCCCCTTCTTCCACTGGTGGCTTGCAACAGCAGAGAAGGAAGGAAAAGATTATCCGACCCAGTTCTATCCAGCCCCTGCACTGCTTCAGTACATTTTGTTCACAGGGCTCTCTCTCTCTCTTTTGCTTTCTTTGCCATCAAGTCAAGCTGACTTCTGGCAACCTCTAGTGCAGGGTTGGCCAAAACTGATTGACATAAGAGCCACACAGAATAAATGTCAAATGTTTGAGAGCCGCAAGACATGAACAAATATTACATGTTTTTGCTTGTAAATATGCAAATTTGCTTTTTATTAACATTATTAAATGGCTGTCAAAAATAACAACAAAAGCAGTAAAAGCAGATATTGATAATATTTGTCCAATGATATCTGTTTGCTAGTGATATTTAGCTCGCCCTTCACTACACAGGAGTCTCAGAGTGGCTTACAAACTCCTTTCCTTTTCCCTCCCTACAACAGACACCCTGTGAGGTAGGTGGGGCTGAGAGAGCTCCGACAGAAACTGCTCTTTTTCAAGAACAGCTGTGCCAGAGCTATGGCTTGCCCAAGGTCATCCAGCCAGGTGCAAGTGGAGGAGTGGGGAATCAAACCTGGTTCTCCCAGATTAGAGTCTGCGCACTTAACCACTTCACCAAATTGGCCACCTGGGGGAGGAGGAGACCTCCTTCTGAGAACTTTTCTTCTGGATCCAACCCACTACTTCCTCCATGAGTACACAGACAGAGAGAAGACATTAGCAGTGGGCAGGGAAGCATCAACGCCTGAAGATCTGCAGAGTTCCCTGGAATGCAGTTCGAGAAGCGGAAAGATAAAGAAACAGCTGAAAAGAAAGACCCTTTCAGAGAGAAACACCAGGAAGGTGTCGCAGCAAACCTGCACGCTCCGTTGTTATCTTTGAGCAGCCCGTTCTCAACGACTTCTTTCCAGAACAGCTCGAAGGAACCTTCCCTCAAGGCAACTTTCATCAAGTCCAGCCCAACACTCGGCAGCGTTCGGTCCTTCTTTTCGGACTTCACAGCCATTTTCAAAACCTCCACCAGCCTGGAGGGGAAGAGCAAAAGGTTGACATGGAAATAAATTAAAAATCAGCTCCAGGGTCCCCTGAGAAAATGGGCTCGAGGCAGAATTGGAAATGTGCAAATCATTTATTAAAGGGATCATATCCATCCCTCCTCCTCTCGGGACAGGTTACAATAACTTAAAAGTCACGCAGTGGTTAGAATCTGAAACTAGTACTGAGGAGGCCCATAAACTCTTAGGCTAACCTACCTCAAAGGGCTGTTGTGAGGACAAAGGAGAAGACAGAATAACCATGTACACTAATTTGAGCCCCCCGTCATTAAAAAAAAAAGTCAAACCCATCAACCGGAGTCATTTGAACACATAAGCATAAGCAAGACAGGTTCCTATGGACAGTACGGTCTTTAAACATTCTGTTCTGTGGCCGACCCCCATGTGGTATAGTTAGAGAGTCAGATTAGAATTGGGGAGACACAAGTTCAATTTCCGCACCCACTGGGTGGCCTGACAGGGCAGTCATTCCCTCTCACTCTAATCTATTTCACATGGTCCATGTCAGGGGTCATTTCGTAGAAAAAGAGCTAGGGGGACTCATTAGCATAACTCATTAGCATATGCCACACCCCCTGACATCACCGGAAGTGTGTCATAAGGCCACCCCCCCTGACATCACCGGAAGTGTGTCATAAGGCCACACACCCCGCCCCCAATGGTCCCGGCCGCTGCTGCCGGCCTTGCCGCTCCACTGCCGAGCCCCATGAGGGGCCCGGCGGTGGACCTGCAAGGCCGGCGGGAGTGCAAGGAAGCCCCGCGAAGGCCCTCCCTGGCCCCAGGCAGGCAGGGGTGGGGAGAGGCAGGGAGGAAGCAACTTACCCTCCCTCTTCTCCTGCCTCCTCCTGGCTGAATGAGGGCCGGAAGCGGGGTGGCCAGAAGCAGGGGGCGGGGCTTCGTCATGTGCCCCGCCCCCCGTACCTCACCCGGGGGGCAGGCGATCCCCCACGATCCCCCCCGAAATGACCTCTGGTCCATGTGAAGATAAGATGGAGGAGAGGAGAAGCCGTGAGATAGCTCTGAGCTCCTAAGGGGAAGAGCAGGACAAAGACGGTGGACTCCGTCTCCTCAACTTACTTGGGAATGTTTTCTGCTGTGATGACGGTGTCTGTTCCCAGCAGTTCCTTCAGCTTTTCTGGGTAGAGAACTCCTGGGAACTTCTGGATGCCCACAAGCAAGAGGTATAGCTGCCCTGGAGTGCTGAAAGCGGATGTGAGGTCATCCTCCAGGGCACTGAAGAGGACTTCAAACACACCTTCTGGAATCTAAAAGGACCGGAGAGAAACTTGGACAAACAAAATGGCGGCAGGCTGGCGAGAACAATGGAGTCACACAAGTGCCTGCAGGGGAAACTGGAAAGAGTTTCCAGCTATGCCTACGTATTTAGAGCCAGTTTGATGTAGTGGTTAAGTGCACGGACTCTAATCTGTGAGAACCGGGTTTGATTCCCCACTCCTCCACTTGCACCGGCTGGATGACCTTAGGTAAGCCGTAGTTCTGATAAGAGCTGTTCTTGAAAAAGAGCAGTTTCTGTCAAGAGCTCTCTCAGCCCCGCCTACCTCACAGGAGTTTGTAAGCCGCTCTGAGACACCTTTGGGTAGTGAAGGGCGGGGTATAAATCCAATCTCTTCCTCTTCATACAATTTTATCCCACACTTCCTCTTAGTTCACGGCAGCATACATAATTCTCCCAGGTCGGTTTGGACAGAGATCCTGAGGCGGGTTTTTTGCCATCTTCTGGTCATGGGGTGAGGGTCACCGGGGGTGTGGGGGGAAGGTAATTGTGAATTTCCTGCACTGTGCAGGGAGTTGGACCCCTGGAGGTCCCTTCCAACTCTATGGCTCTAGGCTTCTTTATTTTGGGGGTCGGAGGAAGAGAAGATAAAATGCTGGCATGAATCAATACATTTCCTCTCAGCTAACAAAGCTTGTTGCGTTGCCAGTGAGACCAATGGGGCTTCCACGGCCCTTAGGGGTGCCAGCTCCGGGTTGGGAAATACTTGGGAGATTTGGGGTAATGGTACTTGAGGAGGGAAAGCACTTCAGTGGGGTCTAATGCCACAGAGTCCACCTTCCAAAGCAGCCATTTTCTCCAGGGGAACTGATCTCTGTCACCTGGAGATCAGTTGTAATAGCGGGAGATCTCCAGCCACCACCTGGAGGCTGGTGACCCCAGTGGCCCTACATAGAACAAACTGTTCTTCCTAACTGAGTGGGAAAGCTCTTCCTCCGCCTGAGCCTTTGGAGAGCCACGGCTGCTCAAAACTGAGCAGCATGAAGCCGTGTCACAGGCTTACCTCAGAGACAATGTCAGCCAACGTCCTCCTGGGGAGATCTTTCAGGTGCGCGTGATGCTCAGAAAGGCTCTGAAGCAGTTGCACGCACCCCAGGAGAGCCTTTAAGTCCTAAAAACGAGAGAGGAGAAACTTCAAGGGGGGAGCTCCCTTCTGGAGACCCTAGCCCACCATTCGCTCCTCTCCTCACCCTCTCCCCCAAAGGATTTAAACCCATCGAACAAGATTGTGTATATTCTGAGCAACCCACCCCCATCTTTCCTCAGTCGAGTGCAGAATTCAGAAGACAGGATGAAATTCAGTTTCAGTCTCTGCGTTTTTTTAAAAAAGGAAGCTTCTAGACCTCACTGAGGAAGGCAGCCTAAAAGCATGGCCTAGGTGTGATACTTCAGAGGCAGCAGGAAGCTGAGTAAAACGTCCAAGGTGTTTTCCTTCGCCTCCGCCTAATGGAGGGCCTGCATCTTTTGATTAGCAGGAGAGCAGAGTCCAAATTACGGCTGCCTTTCACATGGAGAGCACAGCATAGTCTCACCTCTCTGTCGCAGTAACCCTTTTGTGCACCTGCAGTTCAGTTTTGTATCTGGAACCATCCAATTTATTCCAGTCAGCAATACTTGCTGGCTTCCATCTTAACAGCTACCAGACAGCACGGTTTCCCCTCATGGCCTCAAATGTCTTTCTCTCTCCCTGCTCCCTTTTGGGGGTTTTGATCTCTCTCCTTTGTATACATTTGTACAGGCTGATAGTTTCCTATTACCTGGCACAGAATTCAAACACAGAGCCCTGAAACACCATTCTTGTGTTTCCATTACCTTCGCCAGCCGTCCTGATTGGAACAGAGCCAGGACACCGAAGAAGTTGCCAAACACAGCATTTCTGAAGAGTTTCTGAAACGACAGAAAATCAGCACCACAGAGATCTTCTATGAGAGAAAGGTCACGAGACTGCCTCTCGCACTCATGACTTCTGATACCCGCTTTACAGATCTTTCAGAAGGACAGCACGTGCAGCATTAAGACTGGAACTTCCGATACGTTACTTGGCCTCCCAAAACCAGCTTCCGGGGGAAGGGGTGAGCAATCCTTGCCGGGAAAGGCAGACGGTTGGCCTTTCCTTCTTGCACAAGTTTTTTGGCGTCAAAACGACCCACATCTCAGGCTACTTTTAAGCACTGGTAAGGGAAGAAAGGAGCTGCGGTGGCTCAAGTGGTTCAGACGCTGAACTGCAGGCTGTGGAAGGTCCGTAGTTCAGCAGTTCGAGACCCGGGTTGCCGCATGACGGAGTGAGCTCCCGTCTCTAGTTCCAGCTCCTGCCAACCTAGCAGTTCGAAAGCAAGAAATTGCAAGTCGATAAATAGGTACCACTTTGGTGGGAACGTAACGGCGTTCCGTGCCCCTTGGTGTTTAGTCATGCCGGCCACATGACCACGGAAACGTCTTCGGACAGCGCTGGCTCTTCGGCTTGGAAACGGAGATGAGCACCCTAGAGTCGGATTCGACTGGCTTTCGAGCAAGGGAACCTTGACCTTTACCTTACTTAAGGGAAGAAAAAGGCAAAGCACATGTACTCATCCTCTATACTATACTGTGACTTAAAGCAGCTGAGGGGGAGCGAGAGTTCTCTCCCCCTTCCCCGGCACAGTAGCTCTGATCTTCTCCCTTCCCCCAGGGCTTGATCTGCTTTTCATGGCCAGAGAGCAGGTCAAGAATGCCATCAAGGCCCTGACCTCGATAGCCCAGGCAAGCCCGATCTCTTCAGATCTCAGAAGCTAAGCTGGGCCGATCCCGGCAAGTACTTGGAAAGGAAGCCTCTAAGGAATACCAGGGCAGGGATGCAGAGGCAGGCAATTAAGCCACCTCTAAGTCACCATGACTTCCAGGCTCGCAAGCACAAACACACACACACACACACACACACAGAGGCCCTTTCAATATCTCTTGGCACATACCTGCACATTCTGTAATGCCACCCCGGGCCAAACATGACCCACCCACCACAGAGGGAGGCCTGCTATGTGTTTATCTGCTCGTTCGTGCAATCACAGCAGGGCACGTCAGCGTATTGAGTCCCTGATAGGCCACCATACCCGGTTTGCAAGTTGTTGCAAGCCTGTACTTCCATGTATTAATAACAACCCCTTGCATTTGGGCAAGCAGGTATGTTCCCGGCTGCCACTGAAAACACACACCAGTTTAAGAACTGTTTGAATATCTGAAAGAGGAAAAGGTCCCAAACCCCTCCCTTATGTTGCACGCAAGGCTGGCAAAGCTCCACACCACCTCCTATTGTTCTGCCTCGCTCCTCTGCTGATTGGGGCTGTCATCAGACAGCCCAGGCTGCTCTTGAGCCTTTAGCGGTGGTTTGATGTGCAGAAATCAGCAACGTTTTGGAAAGCGATACAGAAACTAATAGCAGAAATAGTAGAAATAGATTTAAAGCTAGACCCAGAAGTATATCTCCTTAATATCTTACCAGATGGGATAAAATATAACGATTTGTGTGTGATATTGTATATTCTCACTAGTTCTAGAATTCTCTTAGCGAAATGCTGGAAATCAGAAAAAAATCCAGATAGAGAAGAGTTAATTACAAAAATTATGGAAATCAAAGAAACGGATAAACTAAATATGATATTGTTGGCAAAAGATGAAACTCTGTTTAAAAAAAGATGGCAGAAATTAGACAGATGGATGGAAGCAAATGTGTAAAGAATCTCCAAAGGATACTTTGTATTAAGAATTTGTGTTTGAAATTTTTGTTTTTGGAAAATACGTAAATAAACTATTTTTAAAAAAAGCAACATTTTTCAAGGCATGGAGATCAAAGTTACTATCAGTGTTAAACTGCTGTTCAAAGGTATAGGTCCAGTGGCCAGTTTAAAAAGTTGGCAACTTCAGGGTTTTTGTTTTTAAGGCTGTTTGGTCTATGGCGCATTCAGCTCCAGCGCTTGTTTGGAACCAATGTGCTTCAAAGCATCTCACAACGGTCCATCACAACCACAAATGGGACACGGAAAACTTACTTTCTTTATTCTGCCAAGATCGTGTTTTTCTTTGATCTGTTCCAGGACTTTGAGCAATGGGATCTCTTCGAACACTTGCAACACCTGGAAGAGAAAACAAAACTCACATCCAGTGCTCTGCCACACACCCCTTTTAAGAAAAGAAACGCAAATGGAATCACAAAAAGGAACTCCGATATGGATTTTAAACAAAAAAACTACCCTACAACTTTTTGAGATGAGCTAGGCTGAGAGATGACCCGAGATCACCCAGTAACAGGCCCATAGCCAGAATTTTGTGGCTTGTGGGGCAAAACTTTTCCTGGTGGGGTTGGTGGGGCTGCCATTGTTTGTATGTCTGCTCCAATCTGCCCCCAAGCCTGACCACCGGTAGCCACCCCGCTCCCTCCCCTCCTGCAAGATTTAAAGGGCCCTTCCGCTGATCGGCGGGGAGCACATGGCCCGGTGATCAGCTGGAGGGCCGTTTAAATCTTGCAGGGAGGGAGGGAGAGGGGCCCGCGCTACCCCCCACTTCTTCTCAAAAGAATGTAAAGGATCCTTTTAAATGCTTTTGAGAAGAAGCGGGGGGGGGGGTCCGTGTGCACCACGCCCCCATTCTTCCCAAAAAGATCTTGTGGGCTGGCCCTTTAAGGAAAGGGCGGAACCCCCAATAGCCCCACTGTAGCTATGGGCCAGCCCAGTAAGCTTCCTAGCAAGAGCGTGGATTTGAATGCGGCACTCTCTGGGCCCTGGGCAAAGTCCAGGATACTATGCCACAGCACGACTCTTTAGTTCTCTACCACAGACCTAGGTATTTCAGTTCTTATCACAATTATTAAACGACAATCTTTTGACAACTTACATGAGCCATGCCAGATCCTGAGATCCACATGATTTCTATGGATCTCAATTTTTTTGCACAATAAGCCATGACTGAGAGAGAACGGGTTTCCTGCAGTAAAGTCTTTTAGCCACTACCCTACAACAGCTCCCTATCCTGGGTCAAAAAATTCCAGTGAAGAACACCAACCTGAGCCAGTGCCAGACTGAAACCTGGCCGGGATGCCTCTCGAGTGGCTGCCAATCCATCAGTCAGGCGTTTCAATGTGTATTTCAACACATCATCATCCTAAAAGAAGAAAAGCTGCTAAGTCAGAAGCCAAATAACTGGGAAGCAATTAACATCACACCAGTGTCCAAAAAGAGATCCAGAAGGGAGCCAGGGAATTACAGACCAGTTAGCCTAACATCTGCTCCAGGAAAATAAGTAGAACCTGTTATGAAAGAGAGGATTGTTAAGCATATCGAGGAACAATACCCGCTGAGTGAAAATCAGCATGGCTTCTGCAAAGGGAAGTCATGCCTTACCAACCTTTCAGAGTCTTTGAACAGGCTACCAAGCATATAGATAAGGGAGATCCAGTGGACATTATATACTTGGACTTCCAAAAGGCTTTTGACTCGGTACCTCCACAAAGACTCCTGAGTGAGGTTAGCGATTGTAAAATAAGATGATGGGTCCTCTTACAGATCAAAAATTGGTTAGCAATAGGAAACAGAGAGTAGGAATAAATGGGCAGTTCTCTCAATAGAGGGAAGTAAACAATGATGTCCCACAAGAATCAGTATCACGGCTGGTACTATTTAACTGATTTATAAAGGATTTGGAATTGGGGGTAAGCAGCATAGTAACCAAGTTCGTATACGACACCAAGTTAGGGCAGTAAAAAGCAAAGTGCGTTATGAAGACCTACAGGAGGATCTACTGAAACTGAGCAAGTGCCAGGTGATGCACACTGGAACAAAAAAAAATCTAACTTTAAATGTATGTTCATGGATTCTGAATCGTTGGAGACAAAGAGTGAAAGAGATCTTGGGGTTATAGCAGATAGGTCATTGAAAATATCAACCCAGGACTCTTTGTCTGAGCAGGGGGCATCAGCCCCGAAAAGTTCCTACAAACTGCGGAAGAGAGAGAAGAAGAAGTAAAGGCTGAAGGACTCTGAATTGTGCCTTTGAGAACTTTGGTTCTAGGGGATGATGGGGGGCACTGTTATTGGGCAATTAAATGTAATTGGGGGTGGTTAAAAGGGTTAAAAGATTGACACAGTTCATAAGAAGTACAAAGATGAAAAGTCTGAATGAAGTATCAAAAGCTAGTTGGAGATCTCCTCTCTTGGGTTTTTAGTTAGTAGTGGGTTCTTTACTTTCTCCCTTATATGTAGCTTTCCCTTTCCCTTTTTTCTGTTCTAGTTTTTGTAGTGTTTAAAAAATCAATAAAAAAACTCCCCTCCGGGAGCTTAAAAAAGAAAAGAAAAGAAAATATCAACCCAGTGTGCAACTACAGTACAGAAGGCAAATTTCATATTAGGGACGATCAGCAAAGGGACTGAGAATAAAATGAAAAATATTGTGATGCCCTTGCACAGAGCCACAGTGTGGTCACATTAGCGATACTGGGCCCAGTTCTGATAACCATTTCTCAAAAAGGATATTGCCGAGCTGGGAAAAGTACCAAGATGATCAAGGGGTTTAAGCACCTTTCCCATGAGGAAAGGATGGAGAGTTTGTGACTTTTTAGTTTAGAAAAAAGAAGGCTAAGAGATGGATAGCTGTTTATAAAATTACGCATGAAGATGGTGGATAGAGAGACCTTTTTCTCCCTCTCCCATAATATTAGCACTTGAGAGCACCCAAGGAAGTCGATGGGCAACAGTTACAGGACCGACAAAAGATAATACTTCTTTACTCGGTGAGTACTTGAATCCACTGTCCGTGGAGGCAGTGATGGCCATGGGCATAGATGGCTTTAAAAGGGGGTTAGATAGATGCAGGCAAGAGAGGTCCATCCGTGACAACTAGCCATGGTGACTACAGGGAATCTCCGCACCTAGAGGCAGTCAACCTCTGAATCCTAGCACTAGGATCCAATATCAAGGGAATATCAAGCCTTCATGCCCGGCTTGCCAGACCTCCAGAGGAATTGTTTGGCCACTGTGTGAAACAGGATTCTGGACCAGATGGACTGCTGGTCTCCAGCAAAGCTGTTCCTGTGCTGTTATGGGTGGGGTTGCCCTCTGCAAGTCTCCTGAACAAAACAGAGAAAGAATACTAGAAGAGAAATATGCAGAGATGCTAATAGAGCCCTAGAATCAAGGACCATCCGTTACGATACCATGAATCACATAACATTTACAGCAGTGTTAACTTACACAAAACAACGCACCATGTGCATTCCCCCCATAGTGGAAAAGATACAACAACATTAAATCGAAAAGCCAACTAATTCAGGCCACACCACCTCACAGCTTTGCAAGGAGGCAGCAGTGCACCCTGCTCAAAGAACCTCACGGCCCAAATATGATGTATTAACGGTGGACTCAAATCCCAACCCACAAGATTCCCTCCCCACCAATTAAAAGAGCTGAGATGCACATTCCTACCAACCTAAACACCTGCTGTCTAGCCTGACAGGTTTTAGAAGGTGGCCGGGCTGGGCTGCAGTCGAGTCCAGTAGCACCTTAGAAACCAACAAGATTTAGGGGATATAAGCTTTGGAGGGGCAAAGTTCCCTTTATATCTGACAAAGGAAGCTCTGACTCTTGAAAGCTTATGCTCGGACAATCTTGTTTGTCTCTAAGGGGCTACCAGACTCAAATCCAGCTGAAGACTGAAAAACACAGTCTGCGCTTTCACACTTGCTGAATAACACCATTTCAATCCACTTCAGCGACCGTTTGCAAGAAATCGCAAGTAGATAAATAGGTACCACTTTGGTGGGAAGGTAACAGCGTTCCGTGCGCCTTGGTGTTTAGTCATGCCGGCCACATGACCACGGAAACGTCTTCGGACAGCGCTGGCTCTTCGGCTTTGAAACGGAGATGAGCACCGCAACCCTAGAGTTGGATTCGACTGGCTTTCGAGCAAGGGAAACATTTACCTTTACCTTTATGCTTGTAGCCCCCACCACATTCCGTGTGTGTGTGCATTCACTTTTTTTAAAAAAACTATATTCTATTCAATAACACCATTTCAATCCACTTACAGCGACACTGTAAAACCCAGGTGTAAAAGTGCATTGGAAGTGGATTGAAAGTGTGTTAGCTAGTGTGTGTGAAATATTTGGGAATCTTTCCAGGGGGCTGAAGGGTGTTTTTAAAGGTACTGGCACTAAAACTGTGGGGCAGCTACTAGTATCTGTTCTTTAAATAACCCCCAAATTTCAAGTCGATTGAGCCAAAGGGGTCCATTTCTATGGGCCCCTGAACAAGGTGTCTCCAGTAATCCTCCATTGTTTTCAATGGGGGGGGGCCTCATGAAAAATGTAGACCCCAGTGTACTAAACCCAACCAATGTAAAACATGAGAACCTAAAACTCAGTAACACCATTCTAGGACTCCATCCGCATCTATTCGACCCCGGAACCTGATCTGTAACTCCAGAGTTCTGTTCTTAAAGAGTGCCAAAAGCGTTTGCTAAACATTACCGTTCACCTAAGCATGCTCAGAGTGCATTCCAAGCACCGAGGAAAACCTATACGAAGAAGTAAAGCCTAGCGACAGTTTCTTTTTTTTTAAAAAGCAACCGCGCACTGTCCATTTCGCAGGACTTCAGCCGCCTCTCACCTTCTGGTTCTCCTGCAAGTAGCGGATCAAGCCCTCGGTGGCCGCCAGGCGGATCTCCTGCTGGGGCTTCGCGATGTCCCAGAAGAAGTCCAAGAATTTCCGATTCTGCCCCAGGAGCCTGCCCGGGTGCGAAATCGGAGCCTCCACCTGGCCGGGGCGGCTGCCGCTGCTATCTCCGGCCATGCTGGAAACGGCGCTGCCACAACGCACGTGGGGACGAGGCCGCGACGTGACTCCTCGCCGCAGTAGCTGATAGGCGATCCTCCCCTTCCGGGTCAAGAGCCTCCCCCGGCCATCCAGAGCTGGAAGCGCGACCCTTCTCGGCATCAACCCTCGGCTGCCCCAAGTGGGAGCTCCCAGCGTTGACACGCCGGGTCCGGAATTCGGTGGAGGAGTTTTGCAACTCCAGAGAGGCAGCAGCCGCGTTAGTCGGTGGTGTGGTCAGTGTTCCCTCTAAGCTGTGGAGTCTTGTGAGCAAAAATTCTACTTTGTGAGCTACTGGCATTAAAGTTGCGAGCGAGTGAATTGGCAGTTGCATAAATTAGTTTGCACTGGAGCCATCCTGCCTGAGCGAAGACAAAAATGGGTGAGCCAGAGGCTAAAAAACGGTGAGCTAGCTCACACTAACTCAACTTAGAGGGGACATTGGCTGGTAGCAAAATAATCAAGAGCAGTCCAGGGGCATTTTAAAGACTACCACGAACACACTTATTGCAGCCAATGTTCCCTCTAAGCCGTGAAGTCTTGTGAGCAAAAATTCCACTTTGTGAGCTGCCGGCATTAAAGTTGTGAGCCAGCGATTTGGCCACTGCATAAATGAGTTTGCTCTGGAGCCCTCCTTCCTGAGCGAAGACAAAAATGTGTGAGCCGGAGGCTAAAAAACTGTGAGCTAGCTCACAACAACTCAGCTTAGAGGGAACACTGCAGCATGCTCTTGCCTGACGCAAAGCTCACGTCTTTGCAACCCGAGATCTTTTTGCAGCTAGTGCAGAGGAAAGATGGACGTAGGGTTGCGGGCCTCCAGGTGGGGCCTGGGGATCTCCCGCTTTTACAACTGATTGCCAGCTGACAGAGATCAGCTCCCCGGGAGAAAATGGCTGCTTTGAAGGGTGGACTCTGTGGCATCCTACCATGCTGAGGCCCCTCCCCTCCCCAAACCTCGCCCTCTCCTGGATCCACCCCCAAAGTCTCCAGGTATTTTCCAACCCAGACCTGGCAACCCTAGATGAATGTCGCTGGTGTTCACCGACCATAAAAATCCAATATAAAAGAGCAAGAGGCTAGTAGCACCTTAAAGACTAACAAAATTTGTGGCAGGGTATGCGCTTTCATCACTCCTTGGCAAATAGAAGGGGAAGTCATGGAAGCAGTGACAGACTCCATGTTCCTGGGATCCAAGATCACTGCAGATGGTGATTGCAGCCATGAAATTAAAGGAAGTCTGCCCCTTGGGAGGAAAGCTATGGCAAACCTAGACGGCATAATAAAAAGTAGAGCCATCACCCTGCCAACAAAAGTCCGTGTGTCAAAGCGATGGTATTCCCAGTAGTAATATATGGCTGCGAGAGTTGGACCATAAGAAAGGCCGAGCGCTGAAGAATAGAAGCTTTCGAATTATGGTGCTGTAGAAGACTATTGAGAGTCCCTTGGACTGCAAGGAGCTCAAATCCTAAAGGAAATCAACCCTGACTGTTCCCTAGAAGGCCAGATACTGAAGGTGAAGCTCAAATACTTTGACCACCAAATGAGAAGAAAGCACTCACTGGAGAAGACCCTTGTTAAATAGTGGGTTCCATGGATGAACAGACCCCAAGTACAGTGATCAGCTCTACTTTATTAGTGAGTTCAGCAAGGACAAGGAAGAAAAAATCCCAGGCAGAAGCCTGGTTTTTAAGCATGCAAAAAACCACACCCCAAACATTCCCACTCCCAAGGATAGGCTATTTACATTACATTGTTTCTCTATTGGTCCATTCTAGAATCCTAGCCAACTATTGTTGTGTGGACGCAAGCTCAACCCGACCCCAGGGCTAGTTTAGGGTTGACTCATCCTTAGTACACGACAACCCTGATGCTGGGAAAGATTGAAGGTAAAAGAAGAAGGGTGAGATGGTTAGTGTTATCAATGCAACGAACATGAAGTTGAACACACTCTGGGGGACGGCGGAGGATAGGAGGGCCTGGCGTGATGTGGTCCATGGGGTTGCAAGACTGTGCGCCTGAACAACAAATGGGCTTTCATGAGTTATTGTGAGCAGGGTATTTGTGGCAGGGTATGAGCTTTCGTGAGTCACCGTGCGCAGTGCAACTGTCGGTGCATGATATAGTGAGACCCCCTTCCCCCTCTTATTTTTAATGCAATTAATTATTATTATTATTATATATTATAATGCATTTTCTTCTTTGTTATTTATTCATTTTATTGAACCATACAGCAATATTACAAACTGACAACAGAATGGAGTGCAATCAACAAGGAAACCCCCCAGTATCTTACAACCACTCGAGACCCTGGATCGACCATGGTCCTTTATTTCTATGGATTTTATCACTGATCTGCCCCCAAGCCATGGGGAAACTGTAATCTGGCTGGTGGTGGATCTCTTCTCGAAGCAGGCACAGTTTATTCCCTGTAAGCAGCTGCCCATGGTGCGTCAGTTTGCCCAAATGTTCATGCAGCACATAATTAGACTCCACCCCATACCCCACAAAATAATCTCTGACCGAGGCTCACAGTTTGTAGCGGGGTTTTAGAAGGAACTGTTGAAATTACTAAGGGTGGAGAAGGGATTAAGTAGCGCCCACCACCCAGAAACTGATGGCCAAACGGAATGGACTAACCAAGTCCTGGAGCAATTCCTGGGGTGCTTTGTCAACTATCAGCAGGACAACTGGGTGGACCTACTCCCTTTTGCGGGATACAGTTATAATTCTGTTCACAGCTCCATTGGAATGTCCCCCTTTAAAGCGGTGCATGGCTATGAAGGCCCCCCCTCTCTACTGTGAATTCAGAGGACCCTGGCACCGATGGAACCCAGTCCTGGTGGTCCTGGATGACCCAAGGATGGACTGTCCTCCAAAAGACTCTGGCAAAGGCCAAGGAGGACTATAAATGCCAGGCTGACAAAGGGAGAGGGCTGGAGTGGGAGATAAAACCAGGGGACTTGGTGTACATCTCCACAAAACACCTTAGGGGGCTGCAACCAGGGAGGAAGTTGTGGTGGAAATATGTGGGACCTTTTAAAGTATTTATTTATTTATTAGTTTAGATTTGTATCCCGCCTAGCTGGGGCAAACTGGTTCAAGTAAAGCACTTGACCAACAAAGTGACTGTTGAGGTTGAATTACCAAAGAACTTATGAAACATCCACCCTGTGTTTCATTTCAGTCTTCTGAAGAAGTTTCCTGGCCCATCGAAGCGGAAACCTTGTCCTCCAGTTCCCCTCCCCTGAGGAAATTTTAAACTCTACACTTAAATGGGGACAACAATTTTATCTTATCAAATGGAGAGACTTTGATGAGAGTTATAATGAATGTGTGGAAGCTAAACATGTGAAAGCCCCTAAACGTGTATGAACGTTTCATAAAAAGCACCCCTTCAAACCGGATAGGAGCTTGGGGGGGGAGGCAGAATGTCAAACTCTGTCTCTAGTTTGCCATGATGTCTGGGGGATGGGAAATTCCTGGGTGTGTGCATGTGAGTGCTGGAGTGTGTGAACCGTGGGGCTGTAGAGGCTGTAACTCTTCCTCCAAGATACCTCCCTGAATGCCAGGGACAACCTTGAAGTCAAAGCTGTGCTTTTCTCACTTTCATATATTCCCAGGGGTTAGGAGTGCGAAATTTAGGTGGGAGGTTGGCATTGTGTGATTGGTGCACTTTTGTTTGAATTGTCTATAACTATGGAATTTCCCACATGAACCTCAGTTCTGACACAGTACTGTTCCACCTGGACCATACAGATATCTCAATAAACAAATCACTGCCAAAGAGAGTGTTGTTGAGAGTCTCTTGACCAGGGTTCTGGCAGTTACCTATGAAGATTTGAACCCAGGTTTCCTTGGTACTAAGCTTATACTGTAACCACTACACAATACTGACTTTAAACCATGGTCTTTTCATTGGCAAACTGGCAATTTAGAAAATAAAACATTAATAAAATGTGTTTTAATTTTTCTACCATGGCCCTGTCCACCTAGGATTTGTTTTTCAGGGCTTTTCCGCATTCTCATTTTACTCACTGGTAAATTCCTGTTCCTTCAAGTTCTTTCTTTCTTTCTTTTTGGCATGTGTCTTGCTCCCTCTAGGGGTTGATTCGCTATCACACAGCTTTTTTTACAGCATAAAAACCTGCAGTTTAAATCTGTGAGGAGATATGCTGGAAAAAAAGCTGCATGATATCAAATGGAGGGAGAAAAATACATGCAGGACACATACCCCTCCCTCCCAAGAACCAGCAATTAAAATAAGAATATGAAAAAACCTGTTAACTCAGAATTAAGCCCTACTGAAGGAAATGGGACTTACTGTATCCTTCATGATCAGAATGACATAGGTCCCGTTCATACGAGGCGTTTTGGGCCTGGAGTGGGCCGGATTGGAGATGGAGCAAACGGGCATGATCCCACACCAACATCTGGCTGGCGTTGCGCTCCCGTCTCCGATCCGGCCCTTCCCCCGATGAGGCGCGTCAAAAGTGAACCACCTACCTGAGGTGGTTCATCTGGACGACACGCCGCAAGCTGGGCCGTCGGATCGCCGGTGCGTCTTTGCGGCGGTGCATCCCCGGCTCCTAGCCAAACTGCGCATGCTCCGACATGCGCAGTTCGTCAGGGCTGTGTTTTCTCCCCAGCGTCTGATCGTGCCGGGGAGAAAAGGCGCTGCGGCCAGGGGATCCATGGGATCCCGCCGCGGCGTCTCAACTTTGGCGCGGCTTTTAAAAGCCGCGCTTTTAGAGGCTTTCCCCCTGCCGTGTGGCAGGGGCCATAGATGATTTGAATGAGATGAGAAAAATCTCCTCCAATCGGGTTGTCAAATCTGTTCCTATTCTCATATAACTAAAGAGGCAGCAAAAAGAGAATTGATTTCTCAAAATACCATGTGGTTCGCTTATCCTGAAAAGGGGAGGAAAGAACACAACTGCTATAAAATTATAGCCTCATTGTGTAGCAGTTAAGAGTGTCGGACTGGGATTTGGGAGACCCAGAGAGCAATTCTAAGCAGGTCTCCT